TAAATAAATGCAGACAACACGTTCTATATTGATATTCTTGGATCTTTCGGTAAAGTCACGTTGAAGGAAAACAATAAAATAATGAAATATATATAAAACAACAACACGTTCTACTTATTTAAATAGACTTCTTAATGAATGTTTTCTCCTACAACATCAGAGTGCAGCGCCACATTCAATACGCACTACAATGTGACAATATTTTTTGATTTAAAGCTTTCGTGACTGCAGTAATTAATATTCTTAGTTTTTTCGGTAAAGTCACGTTGAAGAGAAACAACAAAATAACAAAATATATATAAAACAATAAAAAATTCTCACGACGTTTCGACCATAACTCAAACGGTCATCATCAGGTGTGTCGGTTTGCATAAATTTATTTTGAAAACGGCATATTTATTTATTTATATATATAAAAATAACGTTTGCGTCACGCGCAACGATTGGCAGTTTGCCCAGGACTAGTCCATCTATTTTTTTTTTTAAAAGAGGAGGGGGGAGACGAAATTTGTTTTTATGTATGCTGTCTGAAAGCCACTGTAAGCGTGAACAATCAATCAAGAACTGAAATGATTTATCAAATCTTTCCAATGATTGCTAAGATAGAATCCATCTTCTCGGTTGAAATTGTCTCTGTGCTTGTATATGTGGATAGCCTCATGAACGAATCTCTCATGGAAGCCAGATGGCTTACAAAGAACCTCCGTCTTGGAAAAAGTCAATGGCATGTGAGCCTACTGAATTAGAACAATGATCTGCTACGGCCGAGGTGTTGGTCCTACCGTGTTTAAGGTCTGCTTTATGTTCACGAATGCGGTCCGAGATATGGCGTTTGGTTTCTCCAATGTAACTACTACCACAGAGGCAACTTAGTTTGTAGACACCAGGGTATTGTATGTCCGGAATCACATCTTTTACAGACGGAACCAGATCACGGATTTTATGTAATGTGTTGAAACGGACCTGGATCTTGTGTTTATTCTGGGATCACAAAAAAGATCTCCAAAATCTTGAATAAACACAAGATCCAGGTCCGTTTCAACACATTACATAAAATCCGTGATCTGGTTCCGTCTGTAAAAGATGTGATTCCGGACATACAATACCCTGGTGTCTACAAACTAAGTTGCCTCTGTGGTAGTAGTTACATTGGAGAAACCAAACGCCATATCTCGGACCGCATTCGTGAACATAAAGCAGACCTTAAACACGGTAGGACCAACACCTCGGCCGTAGCAGATCATTGTTCTAATTCAGTAGGCTCACATGCCATTGACTTTTCCAAGACGGAGGTTCTTTGTAAGCCATCTGGCTTCCATGAGAGATTCGTTCATGAGGCTATCCACATATACAAGCACAGAGACAATTTCAACCGAGAAGATGGATTCTATCTTAGCAATCATTGGAAAGATTTGATAAATCATTTCAGTTCTTGATTGATTGTTCACGCTTACAGTGGCTTTCAGACAGCATACATAAAAACAAATTTCGTCTCCCCCCTCCTCTTTTCAAAAAAAAAATAGATGGACTAGTCCTGGGCAAACTGCCAATCGTTGCGCGTGACGCAAACGTTATTTTTTATATATATATAAATAAATATGCCGTTTTCAAAATAAATTTATGCAAACCGACACACCTGATGATGACCGTTTGAGTTATGGTCGAAACGTCGTGAGAATTTTTTATTGTTTTATATATATTTTGTTATTTTGTTGTTTCTCTTCAACGTGACTTTACCGAAAAAACTAAGAAAATGTGACAATAGTTTAAAGCGATTTGAAGCATGTTTTATTTTTTGGGGGGGGGGGCAGAGCTTTGCGACGTCATATTTATTTAATTAAGTCGAACGTGTCTATATTTATTTAAAGTTGCGCATTTTGATGTGACGTCACATTTCTCACCCCCCCCCCCCCGTCGTCACAGATCGTCAGAAATGTCTGACCCCCCCCCCCCCCCCCCGGTGCGTGACGTCATTTATGGACGGCCCCAAATAATCATTTGTGTCTTTGTGTTTCTCTCCCATGTGATGGGATTTTGTAGGGTCAACGTTGAGCTTTATGAGGGGCACGGGGTGACCAATAAGGGTCTGAATTGGTCTGTAATAAGGTAGGGGACACTGATCACAAGGTTGTATCGCCTGATGAAGCTGTTGTAATTACTGGCGAAACGTCGTACTCGGCTTGTCAATGTTGTGGCTTGGCTCTCAAACACACAACCGGTGTGCTGTACTAGTACACTACACTATACACTACACTATACACTAGTGCTGTACTAGTACACTACACTATACACTACACTATTCACTAGTGCTGTAATAGTATTCTACACTATACACTACACTATACACTAGTGCTGTACTAGTACACTACACTATACACCACTATTCACTAGTGCTGTAATAGTATTCTACACTATACACTACACTATACACTAGTGCTGTACCAGTACACTACACTATACACTACACTATACACTACACTATACACTATACTATACACTAGTGCTGTACTAGTATTCTACACTATACACTACACTATGCACTACACTATACACTACACTATACATTACACTATACACTACACTATACACTACTAGTACACTACACTATACACTACACTATACACTAGTGCTGTACTAGCGACGAATTGGCCACGTTCTGTTTACGTGACAAACATTACGAATTGGTTGTTGGGGGCGGTGGCGATTTTAACCACGCATTTATATATATATATTTACACGTGATCGCACCCAAAAAAAAAACCTGTATTATGGATATCAATAAATATTTCACATGATGTACTGTACCGCTCCAGTGACGCACACGCGTGCCGTATTTTAATTGTCTAAGTTGTACGTAGTGCATAATGTACCCGATGTAATATTGGAGACTGAAATCAAGCGTGGCTACTTTTATCGTCACGTGCACGGTGCTGAGCGGCGGACGTGGTGACAATCTTGTTGGAGCGGTACTCTTTGGTTCTATTCGGTAAAGTCATGTAGGTAAAAAAATAAAACAACAAAAAAATCACGACGTTTCGGCCACAACACAAGTGGCCTTCATCAGGTGAAGGGACCAGCGCTGTCCTCGAGACAGTCCGGTCCCTTCACCTGATGTCTGGTCCCTTCACCTGATGAAGGCCACTTGTGTTGTGGCCGAAACGTCGTGATTTTTTGTTGTTTTATTTTTTTACCTACGTGACTTTACCAACTATAACCAAAGAGTATGGATCCTTGCAGTCACGAAAGCTTCAAATCTAGAATTGTTGGAGCGGTGTTTGCCGGTTTCGCCGGATAACGTTGGAAGCAGCAGCTGTATAATAATGATCAATTTTAATAGTGATCAATTACAATATTGATAATTATCGCGTTAAACTATAATCATGATCAACTATAATAATGATCAATTTTAATAATGATTAACTATAATAATGATACATTTTAATCATGATCAACTATAATCATGGTCAACTATAATCATGGTCAACTATAATAATGATCAATTTTAATAATGATTAACTATAATAATGATAAATTTTAATCATGATCAACTATAATCACGATCAACTATAATAATGATCAACTATAATCATGGTCAACTATATTCATGGTCAACTATAATCATGGTCAACTCTAATAATGATCAACTATAATCATGGTCAACTATATTCATGGTCAACTATAATAATGATCAACTATAATCATGGTCAACTATATTCATGGTCAACTATAATCATGGTCAACTATAATAATGATCAACTATAATCATGGTCAACTATATTCATGGTCAACTACAATCATTAGGGGCCGTCCATAAATGACGTCACGCGATTTTGGACGGTTTTTGACCCCCCCCCTCGTCACACGGCGTCACAAAAAGTGAGACCCCCCCTCAAATATGACGTCACAAAGCTCTGCCCCCCCCAAAATAAAACATGCTTCAAATCTCTTTAAACTATTGTCATTGTAGTGCGTATTTAATGTGGCGCTGCACTCTGATGTTGTAGGAGAAAACATTTATTATAAAGTCTATTTAATTAAGTAGAACGTGTTGTTTATATTTATTTAAAGTTGCGCATTTTGATGTGACGTCACATTTCTCAACCCCCCCCCCCCCCCTCTCGTCACAAATGTCTGACCCCCCCCCAGGGTACGTGACGTCATTTACGGACGGCCCCTAATTAATTTTGCGGGCCCATTATCAAAGGTGGAGAGATGTTAACTACCTCGCCTGGTACGCAGGAGGTCGTGGGTTCCATCCCACCCCGACGCCTGCTGCTGTATATTTGGAGTTTGCGTGTCTCTCTCTCTCTCATCGTCATGTCCACACTGGTGACGATGATGACGACGATGACGATATTTAAGCCCACTTCGTTATTTTACCAAGTTAAAGCCACCCTGCCGATGGACAGGGGTGGCTTTAACTTGGTAAAATAAAATCATTAAAACAAATCTTGATTATGCTTATGCACTCGGTACAATATAATTATACTGTGTTGCGTCGTTTAATATTGCAGCCGCGCATATAATTAATCTAATTAATCTAATTATAACATAAAAGTTTATTCGAATACGATTACATTACTCAAACATTGTTTATGACGTCATTGTTGCCGGTGGTTACATTTCGCGTCACGGTCGCGTTAGGTTTTGGCGCGTGTATTGCGTCATCCGGATGCGGATGCGTGACGTCACGACGCTGGCTTCCGCTTAACGTCATCGCAACGTCCGGGGGATTCGCGCAGCGGGGGGGGGGGGGAACCCGCCACGTGACGCGGCATCAGCCAATGAACGCCGCGAACGGGACTTGGGAAACACACCGGAATCGATTCCTGACGCCGACGTTACTCGGGTTGTTTGAAACTTACGAATCGATTTCGATATCCGTGCACGATTTTAACATGGAATCTGAAACGATACGCAATCGGGATGTCGAAGTAGTGGCGTTGGGTGGGTGGGAGTTTGGTGGGGAGGGGGGGGATTGGGGAGTTGGTGGTGGGAGGGGTTGGAATCGATTATGGACCTTACGCACCGATTATGAGAATCGATTCCGCACGTGTTGGGCTTCCTTCTTCACCCACGTGGCGGCGTCTTTAATGATAGCGGCGGCTGCGAGGCTCAATGAGGTTCGACTTCTTCGCGAGATTTAAACTCCTCGCCAGGTCTAAGATGTCTTCGGCTAACGGACAGCAGTGCACGTACAGGGACGCGCTGGACCCAACGGGACGTGAGTTGTTGTTTTTGTAACATTTAAAACAACAAAAAATAACAACTTTTCATTCATTCCGTTCGCAATCGCTTCGCTGTCATTCAGCTACCGGCTTGTCTGGGTTTAACCCCCGAACGGGAAGGACATCTTCGCCTGTTAGAAACGTTCAGGGCTGGCCCTGCCCGCGATCCATCCTGGGTTTAACCTTGCGGGCCGGACTGTGTGAGGAGCTCACAAACTCCTTGAAAGATCTGGGACGCAGTTCCCATCGTCGGCGGTGAGCTCCTCCGGCAGGCGAGGCCTTCGTTGGCTGGGTCACGTAGCCCGCGTGCCCAGCCACCGCATGCCCCCAAAGCAGCTTCTGTTTGGCCGCATAGAGGGGGCTAAACGGGCGCGACACGGGCCGGAGAAGAGATGGAGCTGATGGGTGAGTGAGTGGGTGCGTGAGTGAGTGGCTGAGAGGGTGGCTGAGTGAGTGGCTGAGTAGGTGAATGAGTGGGTGGGTGGCTGAGTGGGTGGTTGAGTGGCTGAATGGGTGGGTGAGTGGGTGAATGAGTGGGTGAGTGAGTGGCTGAGTGGGTGGGTGAGTGAGTGGCTGAGTGGGTGGGTGAGTGAGTGGCTGAGTGGGTGGGTGAGTGAGTGGGTGGGTGAGTGGCTGAGTGGGTGAGTGGGTGGCTGAGTGGGTGGCTGAGTGGGTGAGTGGCTGAGTGGGTGAGTGAGTGGGTGGGTGAGTGGCTGAGTGGGTGAGTGGCCGAGTGGGTGGGTGAGTGAGTGGCTGAGTGGGTGGGTGAGTGGGTGGGTGAGTGGGTGGGTGAGTGGGTGGGTGAGTGGGTGGGTGAGTGGGTGGGTGAGTGGGTGGGTGAGTGAGTGGGTGGGTGAGTGGCTGCGTGGGTGGCTGAGTGGGTGGCTGAGTGGGTGAGTGGCTGCGTGGCTGAGTGGGTGAGTGGCTGAGTGGGTGGGTGAGTGGCTGTGTGGGTGGGTGAGTGAGTGGCTCGGTAAGTGTGTGGCTGAGTGGGTGAGTGAGTGACACGGGCTAGAGAAGAGATGGAGTGATGTGGTACAGGAGGACGTGGAGCTGAGTGGACTTGCCGATGACTGGTACCAGCGGTGTCAAGATCGGCCTCTGTGGAGGAGGCTCGTGAAGGACGCTACTGGGCAGTTGGAGGCAGTCGCCCTCCAACAACAACGGAGGGCGGAGGAGCAACGCTCACAACAACGAGCGGAACGCCGGGTGGCTAAAGCACAGTATGTTGGCACAGTAGGGGTGTGCATCTACCGGTCATCTCAGTCAGCCAACCCATAGCACCCTCAAAGTGCACCTAGCCTGGCACAGGCGCCGTGGTGACGTCGCCACCACTTAGTGGCGAATGACGCCTGTTGGTATTGGTACGCCTGTGCTGGCCCTCCCCGAGGTCGACTTAGCCTCAAATGTGTACGTGGTGCAGCGGCGTGTAGTAAACATCGCCACTGGGGGGGGGGGGGAGAGACAAAGGCGGCCGGGCGTGGTGTGCCGTGGCGGCCTTCATAGGTGCTACTCGCTAACAGCACTTGCCCCTACAGCCTGTGACAGGCTATACGGGGATCTTTGTCTTTTTCTTTTATTACACGCTTTTATTTAACTCACTCTGTTGTATCAAATCTTGCAACTCAATTTCAACCCACTTCCCAATGTGGTATCGACTGCAAACTTGGTATGCTTATGTCATACTGATGACAATACTATATTCTATCATAAAAAATAAAATATATATATTTTTAAACAATCTTTTTTATATGTTATGTTTCGTCTTAGGTCTAATTGTCCACGCTCAACTCATGTTGGCTGTGAATGACCACGGTCCCCTTACGTTGTGGCAAGCTTCGGGCCCACTTCCAGGAGTCGTGGAGTTTTGCCATTACTAGTACGGTACATTTCATTAAAGCGTGTTTTAAAAAAAAAAAAAGTATTTTTAAATATTGCTTATTGGAGAAAACATTCAAGGCTCGCCCTGCCCAGAATCCGCCCTGTATTCAACCAGACTTGATTCTTCTAGATTTGAAGCTTTTTCGTGACTGCAAGGATCCATACTCTTTGGTTCTATTCGGTAAAGTCACGTAGGTAAAAAAATAAAACAACAAAAATCACGACGTTTCGGCCACTACACAAGCGGCCTTCATCAGGTGAAGGGACCAGACTGTCTCGAGGACAGCGCTGGAGTGAACACAGCCAAGCTCAGACCGCGACCTTTAAGCTTGTGTGAGAGAAATTAAGGTACCTTGACAAATGATTTGGCATGAAAATTAGCATTTAATTGGCCGACTTAGCATGATGAACGGTGTAGAGGTGGTGTGGGTGAACATGCCGGTTGGCGAGGGGGGGAGGGGGAGTTTACCTATTGATGGTGTGAAAAGGGAATTTTAAGAGCTGCGAAAGTTTGGGGTACCACTACTTGAAAAAATATACTGTACCATTGAAAATTAGTTTAATGTTTGGTTCGATTTAGAACATCTTTCCAATGGTTGCTTAATTTGAAACCATCTTCTCGGTTGAAATTGTGTCTGTGTTTGTAGATCTGAATTGCCTCGTGAACAAATCTCTGATAAAAACCCGTGGGTTTCCAAAGAACCTTGGTATCGGAGAAAATTATATCGTGATCACCCACAGCGTTGTAACAGTGATCAGCTACGGCAGAAGAATTCGTTCTGCCGTGTTTCAAATCTGATTTGTGCTCGCGAATTCGGTCAGAGACATGTCGCTTCGTCTCCCCGATATAGCAATCACCGCATGTACAACTCAATTTGTAAACCCCGGGGTACTGTAACTCCCCCTCTCCCCCCCTCGCCAACCGGCATGTTCACCCGCATGTACACCACCTCTACACCGTTCATCATGCTAAGTCGGCCAATTAAATGTTATTTTTTATGCTAATTCTTTTGTCAAGGCACCTTAATTTCTCGCACACAGCTTAAAGGTCGCGGTCTGAGCTTGGCTGTGTTCACTCCAGCTCTGTCCTCGAGACAGTCTGGTCCCTTCACCTGATGAAGGCCACTTGTGTTGTAGCCGAAACGTCGTGATTTTTGTTGTTTTATTTTTTACCTACGTGACTTTACCGAATAGAACCAAAGAGTATAGACTTGATTCTATTTTGAGCAGCTCAGCCACAGCCACCGAATGAATGCCCAAGCAGCTTCTGGGCCAGATGGAGGGGGGCTAAACCGCCCTGGCACGCGCTGGAGAATTAATGGAGCTGATGGGTGTGTGAGTGGATGAGTGGGTGAGTGAGTGAGTAGGTGAGGGAGTGAGTGAGTGGGTGGGTGGGCGAGTGATTGAGTGGCTGAGTGGGTGAGTGGCTGGGTGACACGGGCTGGAGAAGAGATGGAGCTGAGTGGTTTTTTTTTCAGTTTTATTTATTATTATTTTTTATTGATGTATTAGGTATAGCCCTGTGAGCCATTCGGCTCTTGAATCGGGTGCAACCACAACAAACAAAAAAACACGAACAAGAAAAACGTCTTAAAGTGACTATGTGTGACTTTGCAAACAGAAAATCCATGGGAAAAAAAACAGCAAAAATATTCCTGAAAAAATCACCGTACACTAATTCTGTGTGCAAAAAATCCCAGTGGGATGCAAGTCAAACAACAACAACAACCACAAGAAAACTTAGATTAAGGCCATCAGTCTAACTCCGTACTGCAACAAAACAAACATGTCCAAACCAAAAAAACGTTTTCGAAATCACCAAAAAATAAATCCATAATTGCAACGTAACAATGATCACAGGGTCTGTGACCGAATTTTTACAATAAACTACATAAATAACATGTAACACCAAATCCTAGAGCCATAGCTGGCTGCATGAGTTACCTCAACAACAGAAGCATCGGTCGGAGTATCAAATTTTTCAATGTACCTTTAAGATCAGCATGCTAATTCAAAATACAGATAATACTTTGCAGCATCATCCGGAGCGAAACATTTTATTTTATTTTACGCCAATGAATAGCAGTGGCAGCTAGGGGCGTACAACTCCTCTAGAGCAGTTTTGAGAGAAGATCTCATTGGTAGCGATTCAAGTTGCAGTTTATTGGCAATAGCATTCCAGACCCTGGGGGCATCAATAGCAAAGGCCCTTCCTCCAGTTTTTGTGCGGCAAAAGGGAATGTGAAGCTGGTAAATGAGCGAAGACCTGAGGTCAAATTTGTTCTTTGAAACAGAGAGGCGATCCAGCAGGTAGTCTGCGGATTTTTTTGTAAGTACATCGTGAATAAATAAGATCTGGTGCACAAGCCGTCGAACATTAAGAGATGTTGTTTGACTCAATGTAGAGATCTTAGTGGCGAGTCCTATATGGCCAGTTCAATGTAAATCTTAAGGCCGAGTGATAGATGGAATCAAGCTTCTTCAGTACAGTACTTGGGGCTGATTTATACACGATGTCACAGTAGTTAAGTAGAGGCAGTGTGGTAGCTTTTATCAATTCCAAACGGAACATTGGGGGGAAGCAGTGCTTGTGTCGATACAGAAAACCAATTTTTATTTGTGTCTTTTTACCAATATAATCAATGTGATCTTAAAAAATAACTTTTGAATCCAGGATGACCCCAATATACTTATAGATCTTGACTTGCTCTATTTCATAATTATTGAAGGAATGTAATTGGGGAAACATAACTTCCTGCTTTAGTCCTGGTGAGAAGCATAGCACCTTGGTTTTGGAGGTATTCAGGACTAGTTTAAGAGCAACTAGCTGATGTTGTAGTTTGTTGAAATCACCCTGTAGCTTAGCAATCACGTCATCCGGAGAGCGGCCAGCAGTAATCAATATTGTGTCATCTGCAAAAAGATTTACCCTGGAATGATCCAGGTCAGTGCCCAAGTCATTGACATAAAGAGAGAACAAAGGGGGCCGAGGATGGAACCCTGTGGAACCCCTTTTGTTATCTTAACACTGTTTGACCTCCAACCATCTGTGAATACAGTTTGGGTGCGAAAAAAGAGGTAATTTTGTAACCATTTTACTGCGTTTTTCGGAAAAACCGAGCCAACTTAGTTTACTAAGCAGGGTGTTGTGGTCTACTGTATCAAAAGCTTTGGACAGGTCTAGAAAAAGACAGGCACAGTACTGCTTATTATCAAGGCTACTGTAAATGTGATTCAGATGGTCTAATGCAGCAGAAGTGGTGCTGTATTTTTTTCGGAACCCAGATTGTTTTAGATGTAGTAGATTGTTGGTGGACAGGAAACTGCTCATTTGGTAGGTCAATAATTTTTCTAAAATTTTCATCAACGGGGACAAAATTGAGATCGGTCGGTAGTTATTTGGATCATCTTTAGGGCCCCCTTTGTGAAGTGGACGGACATAGGAATGTTTCCATTCTAGAGGAACTGATGCTTCTTTGATGGACAGGTTGACTATATGGGCTATAGGTTTGTATATTAGGTGACCAACAGTTAGTAGAGCAAAGACGGGAATACTGTCTGCTCCGGTAGAGGAGGACCCTTTGAGGTAGGACAGTTGTTTCAGAACATTACTTTTGTGGATTGGCTGGAAACTAAATTAGTTTAATGTTTGGACAGGGGTGTAGGAATTTGCATGAGCAGGGGTGACTCCCAATACATTATCAAAAAGATTACCAACTTCAGAAAAATGAAGGTTAAAATGGTCAACTATTTTTTTGGGATCTGAAAAATATTCCCCATTTCGGTTAAGCTCAACAGACAGATTGTCTGTTTTGGATGCCGTTTTGATACATTTGATTGTTTTCCAGAAAATCCTGGCATTTCCATGTGATTCCAGGAGAGTGGAGGAAAAGTAGGCATTTTTTGCATGATGTATTTTTTTGATGCATCTATTCCTTAAAATCCTGTATTCTAGCCAGTCATTGACCAAATTACTTTTCTGAGCACATGCCCAAGCCTTGTCCCTAGTTTTCATGAGCTTTGTAATCAAAGGATCAAGCCATGGTGGGCGGTTGCCTTTAGTTTTAAATCTAACCAACGGAGCATGTTTGTTAAGAATTTGGAGAAACGTGTACCTGAAGGTCTCCCAAGCCGTAGTCAGGTTGGGGATATCACAGACCTTGTCAATATCCGAGTGAAGCACATCATTAGTAAATGCCTGGGTGCTGAAGTGTCTCAGAGTGCTTCTCAACCAATTTAGGGGGGGGCTTTGGGTCTGGCTGATCTCACCACAAAAATGAAAGAGTGATCACTAAGGTTATTACCCAGAACACCAGTCAGTGTGAAATTGTGAGGGGCATTTGTCAATAGGACATCAAGCAGAGATGACTGTCCCGGATTTTTGAGGTTGGGTCTTGTGGGGACATTTATTACTTGAAACAGATTAAATTCATCTGCAAAATTTGTGGCCACGGCCGGCGGATTTAGCCACTCCTTTAGATCCTCGGTCAAGCCGAAAAAGGTTGTAGTTGTCAATCGCAATCTGCAAGTCATTGACGGCAGGAGTGAGAAATGTTTCTGTTAGACAAAAAATGTCCGGGTCAAGATTTGCCACTTCTAGTTTTAGTTGACTTAATTTAATCACAAGCCCTCTGATGTTGACATGTAGAACACCAACACCTTTCCTGCCAAAAAAATCTACAGAATCATACGAGTTATTTTCATTTGGGCCAAGATGAAGCTCAATACCACCCAGAAATAAGAAAAGTAGAATTAAAAGTTTGCACAAGTATTTTCTGTGAAAGGATGAAGAGCGGCGTACCTTGGACGAATAGCAGTAGCTCGCAAATGGTGTTATTTTTAAGAGCAGAATGAAGTTTGGAAGGAGTGCTGGTGAGGTAATGGGACAAAGATAGGGTTTAAAAGGATACAATGATGGAGTGTAGAAGTGTCTATGAGCTGTTTCATTTGCAGGTGTAGTGGCAAATCGAGCAACAAGTATGGACGCAAAGTAACGAGGGTAGCTGTTTGTAGAGTTGAGTGTGGCAATAGATATGGCCGGGAGGGACAGCAGTAGGATACACAGCAGGAGAATTGCCATCTCTAAAATATCCGGGGTAAATACAGATTTACACACAAGCGGAAAATAAAAAATATATACACTTGTAGGTCGAGCGCGAGAAAAACGTCTTGCCGCACTCGTCACACATGCGCGGCTTCTCGCCCATGTGCTGCGGTTGAACAGCGCCCCCCCCCCCCCCCCCCAGACAGGGGCAGCAGATTCTTGGTTGTTGTGGGCTCGGCTGAACCGCTTGCACCGCCTTCTTTCCCCGCCGCAGGATGGTGCTCGAGCTAACCCTCCTAGAGCTCAGCCCACGACTGGAATGTCGTTTCTTGGCCTCTCGTGTCTCTGCTGCCCGACCAGACGGCCCCACTGAAGCCCACACAGGGGACCCTTGGCCGTCTTGACGATCTCCGTGAAGTTTTCCAGGAACACAGCTTGGGGTCCGTGGCAATGTTGCCTTGGCAGGAACACAGCTTGGGGTCCGTGGCAATGTTGCCTTGGCAGGAACACAGCTTGGGGTCCGTCACAATGTTGCCTTGGCAGGAACACAGCTTGGGGTCCGTGGCAATGTTGCCTTGGCAGGAACACAGGTTGGGGTCCACGGCAATGTTGTTGTGGCAGGAACACAGCTTGGGGTCCGTGGCAATGTTGCCTTGGCAGGAACACAACTTGGGGTCTGTCACAATGTTGCCTTGGCAGGAACACAGCTTGGGGTCTGTCACAATGTTGCCTTGGCAGGAACACAGCTTGGGGTCCGTGGCAATGTTGCCTTGGCAGGAACACAGCTTGGGGTCCGTGGCAATGTTGCCTTGGCAGGAACACAGCTTAGAGTCCGTGGCAATGTTGCCTTGGCAGGAACACAGCTTGGGGTCCGTGGCAATGCCGCCTTGGCAGGAACACAGCTTGGGGTCCGTGGCAATGTTGCCTTGGCAGGAACACAGCTTGGGGTCCGTGGCAATGTTGCCTTGGCAGGAACACAGCTTGTGGTCCATCGCACTATTAACTAGGCCTCACTCAGGCTGCGCCATGGGCGCGATCAACCAGGCCTCACTCAGGCTGTGCCAGGTGCACGATTTACTAGGCCTCACTCAGTGAGTGGGTGAGTGAGTGAGTGGGTGAGTGAGTGAGTGGGTGAGTGGCTGAGTGACACGGGCTGGAGAAGAGATGGAGCTGATGAGTGAGTGGGTGAGTGAGTGGCTGAGTGAAACGGGCTGGAGAAGAGATGGAGCTGATGCGATACGGGAGGACGTGGAACTGAGTGGACTTGCTGATGACCGGTACCAGCGGTGTCAAGATCGGCCTCTGTGGAGGAGGAGGCTCGCGAAGGACGCCACTGGGCAGTGCCAGGCTAGGTGCGCTTTGATGCGGCTGGGCAGTTTGTCAGTTATCTAAGTCAACCCCATGGCACCTTCCCTGTTTGGGGGGCTTTCGGCGAGGCCTATGACGCACCTCAGCGGTACACCTAGCTTGGCACGAGCGACGTCACCGCCACTGAGTGGTGGCGGCTTGTTGTGAGTGTGGAGCCGTGGGTCTGGATTGGAACTCTGATGATGTCTGTGTCCTGTGCACACACCGTGTCAACCCACACGGTTTTAGCCCGTATTCTTGTTCAGGAAAATTTAAATTTCTACATCATGGCACCTCCTGTGCCAGTACCAAAATGTGAGAAAAGGTTTCTCCCTTTTTTCTGGCAACGAAACAGCTGTGTTAAGATGTTAAAACACCAAACGGAAACATTCTACAAGGAATCATGTCCGCATTAACCACAATAGCTGGAGCACGCCACGTACCACACACACGTGTCGGTGATGTGCAGCGCGTCTTCTTCGAACGCTGGGGATCCGGACAAGCCCCTCTCTCTGTACCAGCGTGGACGGCACCACCCCCACGTGTTCACCTTCTGAAGCGCTCGCTCGTCACCGTGGCGTGCGCGATGACCACCACCAGCACCACCACGTGACTTTTCTATCGTGTTGTGCGCGGCGCATTTAGCGCCACAGCGCGTGGATTTATAGCGTTTGTTTTAATTTGTGTTGCTGGTGACTTTGTGTGTTTCATATCGGAATCGCCTCCAGTGCTTTTGCTGCTGGCGGCAATAAAAGTTGTTTAAAAGTCTAAAGTCTCCTCACTCTTCTCTCACTCTCTCCTCACTCTCTCTCCTCTCCTCATTCTCTCCTCCCTCTCCTCTCTCTCCTCATTCTCTCCTCACAGTCTCCTCTTTCTCTCCTCTCAGTCTCCTCTCTCTCTCCTCACTCTCTCCTCTCTCTCCTCATTCTCTCTCCTCTCATCATTCTCTCCTCTCACTCTCCTCTCTCTCCTCACTCTCCTCACTCTCTCCTCACTCTCTCCTCTCAGTCTCCTCACTCTCTCCTCACTCTCTCCTCACTCTCTCTCTCCTCACTCTCTCTCCTCACTCTCTCTCCTCACTCTCTCCTCACTCTCTCCTCTCTCTCCTCACTCTCCTCACACTCCTCACTCTCTCCTCATTCTCTCCTCTCAGTCTCCCCTCACTCTCTCCTCACTCTCTCCTCACTCTCTCCCTCTCAGGGCCGCTGTCCCTGCGGGAGGCTGTGGCGCTGTTGGCGCGAGGGGTGTGCGCGGGACTGGTGGTGGCGCTGCCCTCCGACACGGTGTACGGCCTGGCATGCCGCGTCGGCAGCCCGCGGGCGCTGCGGCGAGTCTACGACGCCAAGGGGCGCGACGGTGGCAAACCCCTCGCCGTGTGCGTGGGGGACACGCGGGAGGTGGGCAGGTGGGTGAGGGAGGGTGCGGGTGAGAGTACGGTGAGTTGGTGAGGGTGTGGGTGAGAGTATGAGTGAGTGGGTGAGGGTGCGGGTGAGAGTACGGGTGAGTAAGTTGGTGAGGGTGTGGGTGAGAGTATGAGTGAGTACACGGGTGAGTGTAGGTGAGTGTGGGCGAGTGGACGAGTGAGTTGGTGAGGGTGTGGGTGAGAGTACGGGTGAGTGAGGGAGGGAGTGGGTGAGAGTACGGGTGAGTGTGGGTGAGTGTGAGTGAGTGAGTGAGGGAGTGGGTGAGAGTACGGTGAGTGAGTGAGGGAGTGGGTGAGTGTACGGGTGAGTGAGTGAGGGTGTGGGTGAGTGTACGGGTGAGTGAGTGAGGGTGTGGGTGAGTGTACGGGTGAGTGAGTGAGGGTGTGGGTGAGTGTACGAGTGAGTGAGTGTGGGTGAGTGTACGGGTGAGTGAGTGAGTGAGTGTACAGGTGAATGAGTGAGTGAGGGTGTGGGTGAGTGTACGGGTGAGTGAGTGAGTGGGTGAGGGTGTGGGTGTGTGTACGGGTGAGTGAGTGAGAGTACGGTCTGAGTGAGTAAGGGTGTGGGTGAGTGTACGGGTGAGCGGGTGGGTGAGTGTACGGGTGAGTGAGTGTACGGGTGGGTGAGTGAGTGAGTGAGGGTGCGGGTGAAAGTATGGGTGAGTGAGTGAGGGTACAGGTGTGGGGTACGGGTGAGGGGTAGTTGTGGTGACAGTGGACAAATTTACGTACCTGGGCAGTGTGCTTATGACCAGCTTCAGTTTGACAGCAGAGGTCTCAACTCCGAATCAGTCGGGCGGCAATATCTTTTCATCGGCTGCGTAATTCTGTGCGGGCTAGAGAAGGGATGGAGGATGTGGAGCTGAGTGGAGCTGAGTGGACTTGCCGATGACTGGTACCAGCTGTGTCAAGATCGGCCTCTGTGGAGGAGGCTCGTGAAGGACGCTACTGGGCAGTTGGAGGCAGTCGCTCTCCAACAACAACGGAGAGCAGAGGAGCGACGCTCACAACAACGAGCAGAGCCCCGGGTGGCTAAAACACAGCAAGTTGGCACAGTATTGAGAACAGGTGGTGCAACTGCCAGTCATCCATGGCACCTGGGTCTGTCCCGTGACCTCCTGCCAGTGGGCGTTCCACACTTCACGTCACGATCACTTAGTGGCAGATGGCAGTCGTTGTTGTATATGGGTGAGAGTATGGATACGTGTGGGTACAGGTGTGGGTATAGGTGAGGGTGTAGGTGAATGTGTGTACAGGTGTGGGTGAATGTGGGTACAGCTGAGAGTCGGGGTGAATGTGTGTACAGGTGTGGGTAAAGGTGAGGGTGTGGGTGAATGTGGGTACAGGTGTGGGTACAGGTGAGAGTGTGGGTGAATGTGTGTGTACAGGTGTGGGTGAATGTGGGTACAGGTGTGGGTGAATGTGGGTGAATGTGTGTACAGGTGTGGGTACAGGTGAGGGTGTGGGTGAATGTGTGTACAGGTGTTGCTACAGCTGAGAGTCGGGGTGAATGTGTGTACAGGTGAAGGTGTGGGTGAATGTGTGTACAGGTGTGGGTGAATGTGTGTACAGGTGTGGGTACAGGTGAGAGTGTGGGTGAATGTTGGTACAGGTGTGGGTGAATGTGGGTGAATGTGTGTACAGGTGTGGGTACAGGTGAGGGTGTGGGTGAATGTGGGTGAATGTGTGTACAGGTGTGGGTACAAGTGAGGGTGTGGATGAATGTGTGTACAGGTGTGGGTACAGCTGAGAGTCGGGGTGAATGTGTGTACAGGTGAAGGTGTGGGTGAATGTGTGTACAGGTGTGGGTACAGCTGAGAGTCGGGGTGAATGTGTGTACAGGTGTGGGTACAGGTGTGGATACAGGTGAGGGTGTGGGTGAATGTGTGTACAGGTGTGGGTACAGGTGAGAGTCGGGGTGAATGTGTGTACAGGTGTGGGTACAGGTGAGGGTGTGGGTGAATGTGTGTACAGGTGTGGGTACAGGTAAGGGTATATGTGAGTGAGAGTAGGGGTGACTATACGGGTGTGCAGGTGAGAGCGTGGGTGAGTGAGTAGGTGGGGTTGGGTGCGAGAGTGCCGGTGAGTTTAACAGCTGAGGAGTGTACAGATGGCGATGGCGATTCTGCCAAGAACGACGATTCAATACAGCTGTCGACGGAGCTGCTGCTGCTGCTGATGACCATGCTGCTGATGTTGATTTTGGAGGCGTTCATATTCTTGGGGGTGTTGTTGACGATGCCGATGATGGTTCCGGTGCGCCAGGCTCTGCCACGTCACGGTGTCTGACGAGGTGATGCAGGACTTGCTGCCGGGCCCAGTCACGCTTGTGTTCAAGAGGAAACCCGAGCTTAACCCCGCACTCAACCCCAGCACACAGGTAGAGGTCCACCACCACCTCCTCCACCACCACCACCACCATCTTTTCTCTACCTCGATCACCACCAACTCCTCCACCACCTCCACCACATCCACCAACTCCACCACCACGTCCACCAACTCCACCACCACGTCCACCACCACCTCCACGTCCACCACCACCTCCACGTCCACCACCTCCACTACCACCTCCACCACCTCCACTACCACCTCCACCACCTTCACGTCCACCAACTCCACCACCCACTCCACCACCACCTCTATGTCCACCTCCCCCACTTCTACCTCCCCACCACCTCCTTCACCACGTCCACCAACTCCACCACCACGTCCACCACCACCTCCCCCACCACCTCCACCACCTTCACCACGTGGTCCACGTGGTGGTGTGGTGGTGGTGTGGTGGTGGTGGTGTGGTGGTGGTGGAGAGGTGGTGTAGTGGTAGTGTAGAGGTGGTGGTGTAGAGGTGGTGTAGTGGTGGTGTAGAGGTGGTGTAGTGGTGGTGTAGAGGTGGTGTAGTGGTGGTGTAGTGGTGGTGTGGTGGTGGTGTAGAGGTGGTGTAGTGGTGGTGTAGAGGTGGTGTAGTGGTGGTGTAGAGGTGGTGTAGCGGTGGTGTGGAGGTGGTGGAGAGGTGGTGTGGAGGTGGTGTGGAGGTGGTGGTGTAGCGGTGGTGTGGCGGTGGTGTAGAGGTGGTGTAGTGGTAGTGTAGAGGTGGTGGTGTGGTGGTGTAGCGGTGGTGTAGAGGTGGTGTAACGGTGGTGTAGAGGTGGTGTGGTGGTGGTGGTGTAGTGGTGGTGTAGTGGTAGTCTAGCGGTGGTGTAGAGGTGGTGTGGTGGTGGTGGTGTGGCGGTAGTCTAGCGGTAGTCTAGCGGTGGTGTGGCGGTGGTGTGGCGGTTAGCGCTACGCCGCGCTGCGAACCCGGCGACCCGAGCTCCATTCCCGCTCACGGCCAACACCGCCGGCGATTATGTGAGCCGGGCCTTGGGCCCTCCCCTTGGTCGACTGAGGCCTCAAACGGGTAGCCGGTGCGCGCGGTGTGTAGTAAACATCGGAACTGGGGAGACAAAGACGGCCGGGCGTGGTTGCTGGCCGCCCACCCCCTCGTGTGCTACAGTGCCGCTCGCCAACAGCGCTTGCCCCCAGCAGTCTGCGACATTGGGGGGGGCCGGGGGGGGGGGGGTCTTTGCGTGGGCAACCAGAGCTGAGATTCCCGCTCGCAGCCTTAATGGATCGAGTAGCTGGTGGGGGGGGGGGGGGGGGGGGGGTGTGGGGAGACAAAGGCGGCCGGGCGTGACAAAAGCGAGGGGATGTGCGGGGGGTGGTGGGAGACGTAGGTCACGTGGGGTGGTGTTCGTGCGAGCTGCGTCACGTGGTTTGTTTGTGGGCCCTCTGGAGGACTCCGCTACCTGCAGCCCGTGGCCACCAGAGGGCGACTCCGCGCCAGGGAGTGGCCACGGGCCAGCGCCGTTGACCACTGCCCCCCAACGGGATTTATTTTTAAAACCAAATTTTTTTTTCTTTTTTTACAAAATGTTTGAAACAAATTTTTTTTTGTAAATATATATGTGTTGTTTTATGAAACACATTTTTTTTTAAAATGTAGAAGACGTGATTATTTAACGATTTTTTTCTATTTGCAAGTTTTTAGTAACTCTTTTTGTTTAAACAATTTTTTGTTAATTTTCCTATTTTTACTCGATTTATTTGAGCTTTTTTACAATGTTTTACTGTTTTTAACTATATTTGTAACTATATGTAATAAACAGCAATTAAAAAAATATATTTTTAAACTACATTTTTACAGTTTTTTTTTTACAAAAAATGTAAAGTAACTTTTTTACAAATAAAAAAAAACAATTTAAACAAAATATTTTAATTCTTTACTACTTTTGAAAACAATATTTTTTAAAACGATTTCTTCAACAATATTTTTTTACAATTGCTTAAAAGATTATTTCTATTGTTTTTACGAAATATTTCTTACCGTCTATTTGTCCCCACTGATATCTTATGTAGCTCTTTTAAAAAGAAGCGGACCTGGCTATCAACAAATGATAGCTTGAAGAAGTTGGTGGCTTATCATCGTCATAGTCACGTGGACATTTATAGCAGCAGCAGCAGCCAAATATGCTTAACGTGATGTCGATTCTAAATGTGGAGGGAAAAACCGGAGGACCCGGAGAAAAATCCACGCGACCACGGGGAGAGAGAGACACGCACACACTCCAAATATACAGCAGCAGGCGTCGGGTTTGGGATCTACCCCACGACCTCCTGTATACCAGGCGAGGTAGTCAACATCTCATGACCGTTGCACGTGCGCCGTGCCGTCCTTCGCGGCCGCTCCTCGCTTCGCGGCACTTGCCCCGCCGGTGTGTTGAAGGCTACGCGGGGGACCTTTGTCTGTGTGTGTGCGTGTGCGTGTGTGTGTCCGTGTGCGTGTGTGTGCGTGCGTGTGTGTGTGTGCGTGCGTGTGTGCGTGTGTGCGTGTGTGTGTGTCTGTGTGTGTGTGTCTGTGCGCGTGTGTGTGTGCGTGCGTGTGCGTGTGTGTGCGCGTGAGCAGCTGGTGGGGGTCCGAGTCCCCGAGCACGCCGTGCTGCGCCAGCTGTGCCTGCACCTGCAGGAGCCGCTCGCCCTGACGAGCGCCAACGCCAGCGCGCGGCCCAGCTCCCTGCACGTGCACGTAGGTCGCGGGGACGGTGGTGGTGGCAGGGGTGGTGGCAGGGGTGGTGGCAGGGGCGGCGGCGGGGGGCGGTAATGGTGGTGCACGTGCACACGTACGTAGCCACCCGTGCCAATCGGAGGTGCGTGGTGGTGCTGGTGGTTGGCGCTGGTGGTGGGCGGTGATGGTGGCGGTGGCGATGGTGAATGGTGGCGACGATGGTGATGGTGGCGTGGGCGGTATTGATGGCGTTGGCGATGGTGGCGGTTAAGGCTGCACGGGGCGGGGGTGGGGGACCTTTGTGCGCATGAGTGCAGGAGTTCAGGGAGCTGTGGGATTCTCTGGCGGTGGTTCTGGACGGGGGGCCACTGGGCGACCCCAGTGACCCGACCTCACGTCTGGGGTCAACGGTTATCGACCTCTCCATGCCCGGAAGCTTCAGGATCATAAGGGCCGGCGTGTACGTACACACACACTCTCGCACAGCTGCACACAACACACACAGAGTTTGCCCGCATAGCCTTTAACAGACTGTTGGGGCGAGTGCTGTTAGCGAGGAGCGCCTGTGAAGGGCGGAACGGCACACGAGGGGGTGGGTGGGTGGCCAGCACCACGCCCGGCCGCCTTTGTCTCCCCAGTGGCGGTGTTTACACACCGCACCAGGTACTCGTTTGAGGCTGAGGCGACCTAGGGGAGGCTCGGGACCGGTTCAGATTATCGTCGCCGGTGTTGGCCGTGAGCGGGAGTCGAACTCGGGTCGCCGGGTTTGTCACGCAGAGCGCTAACCGCTGCACCACAGCTCCCCACACAGCTACATGCACAGATAACAAAAACAAAGATCCCCCGTATAGCCTTTAACAGACTGTTGGGGCAAGTGCTGTTAGCGAGCGGCGCCTATGATGGCCAGCGCGGCACATGAAGAGGGTGGCTGGTCAACAGCCACGCCCCCTCGGTCCTCGGGGTCTCAACGTGACTCCACAGATCTCTATGCAAGCCTATGTGTGGGTCTGTATGCGATTATGGATCTTCACGTGGGTTATTGGTGACGGACGAAACCACCGACTCGCTACCCAAACTCCACGTGAAATAATTTTCTATTTTTGCAGCTTACCGCCCACTGAGCTTGTACGGCGATCACAAATGACGAAGTGGCTGGCCATCGTCGTCATCACGTGGACATTTTTTTTTAGCAGCAGCCAAATCATCTGAACGCGTCGTGACGTCGATTCTAAACGTGGAGGGAAAAACCGGAGGACTCGGAGAAAAATCCACGCGACCACGGGGAGAGAGGGAGACGTGCAAATTCTAAATATACAGCAGCAGGCGTCAGGGTCGGGATCTAACTCACGACCTCCTGTACACCAGGCGAGGTAGTTAACATCTCTGCTGGGGGTGAGGGGGTTGGGTGACCACACAGTCACCCAACCCCCTTAAGTTCACAACTCAGAGGCCGTAGTGCGGTTGAGGTGGCTGCCCTGGCTCGGACATTAAAAGTGGGTGAGCCGGAATCATTGAGGGCCTGGGTTCCATTCCGGAATCATCGAGAGCCTGGGTTCCATTCCGGGTTGCAGTTGTCGACTGTGGTTCGACCGGGGTGAGGTTTCCCGCACCACCGATTTACCGCGGCTGGCTACGTATGGTGCGAAAGAAGTTTGGCGTACGTGGAGTGGGCGCGGTGGTGGAGAGTCTGCGTGTCTCTCTCTCTCTTATCATCATCACGGTGGCTAGGAGATGTTAACTACCTCGCCTGGTATGCAGGAGTTCGTGGTTTCGATCCCGACCCTGACGCCTGCTGCTGTATATTTGGAGTCTGCGTGTCTCTCTCTCCCTCCCCGTGGTGACGTAGATTTTTCTCCGGTTCCTCCGGATTTTCCCTCCACAGTCAGAATCGTCACCATGCGTTCAGAGTATTTGGCGACTGCTATACATTTCCACGTGATGATGATGATGGTGGTGGTAATCACACTCCGTTGAGCTGTCATTCGTGATGGCCAGGTCCCTTCTGAAAATTAGCTATGTAGAAGCTCAGTGGGGTCCTTGCACCTGGGTAAAATAACAAGTATTAAAGTTTTCGGTTTCATTCCTGGTCAGGAAGGAGAGCTGCTCAGGTATCTGTGGAATGTTTGGGTCACTCCAGAGGCCAGAGGTCCTGAGCCGGCACCTCCGAGAGCCTGAGTTACACTCTGGGTTTCAGTCGCACAGCCACAGAGATTACACCGAGGTCTCATAGAGACCCGTAGACTCGCACAGAGACCCGTAGACTCACACGGAGGCCAGTAGACTCACACAGAGACCCGTAGACTCTTACAGAGACCCATACACTCGCACAGAGACCCGTAGACTCGCACAGAGACCCATAGACTCGCACAGAGACCCGTAGACTCGCACAGAGACCCATAGACTCGCACAGAGACCCGTAGACTCGCGCAGAGACCTGTAGACTCGCTTAGAGACCCATAGACTCACATAGAGACCCATAGACTCACATAGAGACCCCATAGACTCGCTTAGAGACCCATAGACTCACATAGAGACCCATAGACTCACATAGAGACCCCATAGACTCACTTAGAGACTCATAGACTCACATAGAGACCCCATAGACTCACAGAGACCCCATAGACTCACTTAGAGACCCGTAGACTCACTTAGAGACCCCATAGAGACCCCATAGACTCACACCGACCAAATTTGTGAATAGACCGGGTCGATGGTTCTCAGGGTCCGGTCACCAGGTGGTCACCAGGTGGTCACCAGGTGGTCACCAGGTGGTCACCAGGTGGTCACATGGTTTCCGCTCTCTCTCGTGAGATCCAATCAGCTGTGAAAGGCGGCGGTGGCAGGGTCATTGGTGGGCGGTGGGGGAATGTGGTCCTTGCAAATCGGTGGCCTCATCGATTTGCAAGGGGCGGCCTCACAGTTTTAGAAACTGAAAATGCGTCTTCCTCTCGACGTTCTGGTTTCAGGGCGTGCGACAGGACCCTGGAGATTCTGCAGAAGAAACACGGGTTGAAGTTGGACCCCGGGACGGGGTGACGAGGAGGGTGAAGCGAGTATGAGTGTGTGTGTGTGTGTGGCGGAGGCGGGGGTTGGTGGATCATGGGAGGATGGGTAACGAGCGAGGGTTCTGTATGGGACCAGGCGAAGCTTCTCGGTGTCACTTCCCCTCTGCGGGCTCGTGCCGGTGACCACGTGTGGAACTCCACACACGTGGTCACGCTCCCTCCCCCCCACCCCCGCTGTAATAAATATAATATGGGGGGGGAGGGGGGGGGGGTGTTAAGCAAGCACGGTCGACGATAACGCGCGTGGGGTTGCGTACGCGGGTGCGCGGGGTGGGAGGGGGGGGGGGGAGGCTTGAACAAAGAGCGAGGTGCGTGGGTAGCGTCTGGAAGCATCCAGCAGCATCCCGATGCCTCGTGCCGACGATGCCACACGCCGAAGCGGCCGTAAAAATGTTTTTTTCTCCCGAGCGGGGGAGCGAGGTGTGTGGTTCTTGCCCCCCCCCCTCCGCCGTGACTTTTAGAAGGGCGGTGGCTGAGGCTCGCTTTATAGACTGGACTGTGGGGGGGGAGGGGGGCTCGCTGTGAAAAAAAGCTGCGTTGGCTTGTAACCTCGTAAGGGGTTACTTACGGGGGTTAATCATTGGCAATGCTGAGTGTGTGTGTGTGTGTCAGTGTGTGTGTCAGTGTGTGTGTTTGTGTGTGTCAGTGTGTGTGTCAGTGTGTGTGTCAGTGCGTGTGTCAGTGTGTGTGTGGCAGTGCGTGTGTCAGTGTGTGTGTGGCAGTGCGTGTGTCAGTGTGTGTGTGTTTGTGTGTGTGTCAGTGTGTGTTTGTGTGTGTGTCAGTGTGTGTGTTTGTGTGTGTGTCAGTGTGTGTTTGTGTGTGTGTCAGTGCGTGTGTCAGTGCGTGTGTGTGTGTGTGTGGGGAGCGGTAGTGTAGCGGTTAGTGTGCTGCGCTACGAACCTGGTGACCCAACTTCAATTCCAGCTCACGGCCAACACCGGTGACGATTATATGAATCGGTCCTGGGCCTCCCCTAGGTCGACTCAGCCTTAAATGAGTACCTGGTGCGGTGTGTAACCATCGCCACTGGAGAGACAAAGGCGGCCGGGCGTGGTGCTGGCCACCCACCCCCTCGTGTGCCGTGCCGGCCTTCATAGGTGCTGTTCGCTAACAGCACTTGCCCCTACAGTCTGTTGAGGCTTCACGGGGGGATCTTTGTCCTTGTGTGAGTTTCTGAGTGTGTGCGTGTATCTGTTGCTCAGATTTGTGTAAAAAAAACCGTCGGAAATTTTAATATAAAATGTCTTGCTTCTTCTGCCTCTTGGGTGCTGGATGTGTATATTTAAATAAACGTTGCTGATTTTTGATTAGTTCTCATGTGCTTGAGAACGTGTTTTATACGTTGAATTTCTTTCGCACCGTACATAGCCAACCATGCTAAACGGAGGTGCCGGGTTGGGGGGGGGAAGGACAGCAAACTAAACACAACAACAACAAGCAGTTCTAAAGAAATCGGTTTGTCGATCTACATTTTAAAGTGCATCATAGCTCCCAGTGGCTTCCTTAATATCAGAAGAGCGTTCCAGACGGCCCACGATGATGATGATGATGATGCGGTGACCTCCGCCGTCTAGGTTCGATAGCTGAGCCAAAAGGCCACCGCTGCTGCTGCTGCTGCCGCAGGGATGATTTCTGCTCCTTGACGTGTTGTGCGTGCTCACGGTATCTGTATTCACGTGGCCGTGGCTCACATCGTCAATGGTTGTGCAGTGCGTCAGGTCGTGCCGGGCCGACTGGTTTGACCTGTTCGTGATAAAGGTTTTTGTGGGTTAAATCGCGTTAGTTATAAATGTGTCGCAACCCTCCACCACCCGACACGGCTAATCATTAAAAGAATAATGTGTCACGTTAACACAACGCCAATTATTTACTTCTTCAGCACCACGGGTGTGTTTGAAGAGTGAATCCACAGCATTTAGAATTTGAGTTGGTACGACGTTTCGCTGCTAAAGTTACATCCGGCATCATCGGGCGATTTGCCAGAATAGTGACGCCACCCACGTGCTTCCGGTCTTAGCTAGTGCAGGGTGACGTCATCGTTGTTGAACCCCATCAGCATTCGAGATCGGAAGCGGAGGTGGTGGGGGGGGTATTGTAATTATGTTATAGATCAGTCATCAGCCACTTAGAATGTGACTCTATAAGGCAGGGGTCGGGAACCTTTTTGACTAAGAGAGCCATGAAAGCAAAAAATTTGGAAATTTATTTCAGTGAGAGCCATATAATATATTTTAAAAGTGAATTCAACTAAATGTCAGTATAATAAGCCTCTGAATTTATTCTTTTAAATAATGTTGTTATAACACTCACCATTAATGCGACTTCTGGTGCTGCATGGATTTGCTGATGTCTTTGTAGTCGGGTTGGTACTTGGTGAGGTTAAGCTTCATGCAGGCGTTGAGGCTTTCATCCGTTAAACGTGATCGTAGGTTGGACTTGATGTTTTTAAGATGTGAGAATGACTGCTCACATGCATACGTAGATCCAAACATGGTCAATACAGCAATACTCACACGCTGCAGTGTGTGGTATGTGACAGGAAGCGCGTTCCAAGTTTTGAGAATCAGCTGGTCTTCGGGTTGGAGTTTTTTCATTTCTGTCCACATGTGCTTGCTCGCCAACTCCGCTTTCTGTCGTGTGATTCTTTCCAAATCTTCATTCAGTGACTTGAACTTATTCACCCACATGTCTGAGGCCTTCAGGTCAGCCACTTCTGCTTCAAAATCTCTGACGGAGACACCAGGGATGTAATTCAGGTCGGCTGTGTTCAGTGAACACTCGTTTGGATGGGTGATGAACTTAAAAAGACGAGTGTGCTCACGAAATTCTCCAAAGCGTGCTTTGAAGGACTGTAGGAGACTGGATGTGCAGCCAGCTAGCTGGTGGAGATCAAGGTTTTGAATGGGCTCACTTGCTGTGCATGCATCTTTAAATTGGCTCAGTTTTTCAAAATGTAGTAAACGACCTGTTTCAAGATCCGTGATGAAAAGCTCCAGCTTGTTTTCAAAAGCAAATACAGCTTGTTGAAGGGATAACACTGTATTTCCAATGCCTTGCATTTTCACGTTGAGCTGGTTCAGATGTTCAGTCAGATCTACGAGATAGTAAAACTTGAGGAGCCACTCGGTGTCGGCTAGCTCAGGATGCCCGACGCCTTTCATTTCAAGGAAAGTCCGGATTTCGTTCAGGCAAGCCGCAAAACGGCTAAGCACCTTCCCTCTTGACAACCAACGCACATTGCTGTGCAAAAGCAGACCAGGATAGTTATTTACAACTTCATCCAGCAGTGTTTTAAACTGGCGATCATTTAAGGCTCGGGCAACAATAAAGTTGATCACACGAATGACCAGCGACATCACTTCGCCAAACTGCCTGTCACACATCTGAGCACAAAGTGCCTCCTGGTGTATAATGCAATGGAAACTTAGGATGGGTCTATTTTCATGTTCACGGAGAAGCGCCACAAATGCTTTGTTTTTCCCCACCATACACAGAGCACCATCAGTACACACTGAGAGAAGTTTATCCATAGGTAGACTTTTTTCTTGAGCAAACTCCATGAAAGACTTGAATAAATCCTCACCTCTTGTGGACCCTTTTAATGGCAGAACAGCAAGACTTTCTTCGCGCAGTGTGTCACCAACAGCATATCTTGCAATCACGCTGAACTGCGACAAATGGCTCACGTCTGTTGACTCATCCAAAGCCAGAGAAAAGAACGGCGCTGCATTTATGTCCTTCACTTGCGTTTCCTCCACTTTGTTTGCCATCACGATGGTACGATCATGAACAGTTCTTGCCGACAGAGGCATGTCTTGTATCCGTTTGATTATCTTGTCTTTGTTCGGAAGATCATCAAAAAGTTCATTGGCTACATCCAGCATGAACGTTTTAGCATACTCGCCATCTGTGAATGGTTTTCCGTTCCTCACTATTGCTAAAGAACCAGCAAAGCTAGCCGAATTATAGTCACCTTGCCGGGTCCATACGCAGAGTTGCTGCTGGCTAGCTTGCACCCTGCTCAGAAGCTCTTGGCACGCTTTCTTTCTGCTGTCTCCCGCAGGGTATTTTGATGCAAAGGTAGCGTGGCGCGTGTCGAAGTGCCGCTTTACATTCGACCGTTTCAACGATGTAATTTTGTCATTGCAAATTAGACACACCGCAGAACCCGCTCTCTCCACAAAGGCGAATTCTTCGGTCCATTCGTCCTGAAATGTACGATACTCGTCGTCTTTTTTTCTTTTCGCCATCTTCTTCGTCGAAGGGTTAGCTTTGAGCTAATGACCGAGCAGACGCAGTCTCAGACTGATTCAAAAGGGGGCGTTTACCTGTTTTACCCAGCAACGGCAAACGTAGGCCAGTATCATCCAATTAAAATAATGGACAATTGCTCCTGCAGCCCTGAACAGGACATGCGCAGTGAAAAATCGATGGATGGATTAAAACAAGTGAGAATATTTTGTTTTATCTGCGAGCCATATGCAATCATCAAAAGAGCCACATCTGGCTCGCGAGCCATAGGTTCCCGACCCCTGCTATAAGGGATTGTAATATGTATTGCGTATTAATGAATAATACGCTTCCAGGCTGAGCTGAGTCTGTAGCTATCACAGCGGTTGAAATTCTTTGTATTTTTCTCAATTTCGATTGCTTTTCTAATTAGTTTTGGTCAGTAATAATATGTTTTGCATAACACTTCGACGTTATCAAAATCAATTGAATGTCCATCTTGGCAAGCATGTTCTGCCACTGCTGACAGTTGTGTTTGAGATAATGTAATGTTCCTTTGGTGTTCTTTTAGTCTTACGCTGATGTTACGTCCCGTCTGTCCAATATAACATTTACCGCATAAGCAATTGATCCGATAGACACTTTCTGTTGATAACGTCGGTAATTCATCTTTAGCACAAGACACCAGTTTATTTATTTATTTTGTGTACCGTACCAAAACGCACTTTAATGTTTTGCTTTTGCAAAACACACGGGCTAATTTGTCAGTAACTCCCGAGATATATGGTATTGTAATTACAGTAAAACCTTGGATTGCGAGCATAATTCGTTCCGGAAACGTGATTGTAATCCAAGGCACTCGTATATCAAAGCACTCGTACATCAGTTGTGATCACGTGATGCTCGGCAGACAAAGCGTATACGTACTACTACTCGTATTGCAAGACCCTCGCTCGTTTATCAAATTTATATTTATACGAAAAAATGTTGCTCGCAATCCAAGGTTTTACTGTATTTTGATAATCTTAACGTGACACATTTTTTTACTGATTGATGGAGGGTTGCGACACATTTATAAATAACGCGATCAAACCCCCAAAAAAACCTTCATCATGACTAATACCGGTCGCGAAAGCACCGCTAACCGTGTTAAACTCGTTGCCCTGTGCAGTGAGTCAGGGCGTGATGGCCGGACTGGTTGGAAGAGGAGGAGGAGGTGGTGGTGGTGATACTGGTAGAAACGAAGTTGTAAACTGAGTGTACCAGCCTGCTATAGATTAATGTGTCCGTCCGTCCGTCCCCTTTCAATACTTTAACGAAGTGAAATCTCGTGCTGTTGGGGTGTAAAAATAAAATTGCCCAACATTCCAATGTTCCTACCAGCCCACCCTGCAGGGACCTGTTAATCGTGGCTCCGTGGCTACGTGGGTGTCGACCTCCAGTCCCAAAGCACATTCATTCACTCGTCGGTGTACATTTTGACAATGTTTCTGGTGTTTTGACCGTGGGAAGTCGCGCGCGTGCGCGCGCGCGATGGCGTTCGCGACAATTAATAAATTCGCGTGGCACTTTGTAAGGCTGCAGAAAAAACTCGATTTATTTTAACCGGCACTCGAAAAGCAATGACGCGCGTTTAATGGTTGTCCACTTTTAACTTTGCATTTGAACGTTTTGAGACGAATTTCTTTCAAGCAGCATCATCATCATCAGCGGCAGCAGCGGCAGCGGCAGCCTCGTTATGATCACCGACACGAATGTCAACATCTGCGTGAGTGGAAAATGAAAAGGCAAGCTAAGCAGTGCGATTGTGGCAACTCCACAAACTGTGAACCGTACAGAGGGGGGGGGGCAGTGGTTCTCAGCCTTTCGTGGCTACTGTGACCCCCCACCCCCCCTTGTTGAGTTTTGTTGCAACAGAGTAACACCCCCCCCCCTCGCCTCCCACCCTTGCCTGACCCAACGGTGGTTCTGACTAAATATAATGTACGAACGATGAACATCAAATAGCTTGACCAATTGTCCCGTTTGGCGAGGTGTAATCCGGAGGAGCTTCCAAGTAGCCGCGAGCGGACCAAAAAAAAAAATCAAAACGTGGACGCTCTGCACTCGTCCGGTTCCCCTTTGAAATCGCCGTTGCTTGCAGGACCGGTGAGTTTGGAAGGGGCCTTCGACGTGCCGATCCGGGTTACCGCGCGGATTCATTAAACGTCGTTAGTTTTATATTGGGCGGATTCGCACAACGTGGTTGTCCACCGATGATTCTCATGCGCGACATACGGTTTCGGGCATTGATAAATCTGAACCAATGACACCAGTGGGATATTTACCCGAGAATGTAGGGTGTGTAACGCGCGTGACGTCACTCCACGTCGACCAGCCCCCCCCCCCCCCCCCTCATTAATAATCATGAACAGGTGACGTCCTCCAAATGGACCCGCCCCTCGTTAATAATCATGAGCGGGTGATGTCACTCCACATGGACACCCTCCCTTCATTAATTAATAATAATTAGCGGGTGACGTCACTCCACAAAGGCAGAACCCTCACGTGACGTGATCTCCGTCACGCTGTTGAGACATCGAAGTAAAAAGGACGTGATGAACAAGGGATTTTAACCTTAAAACGAAATATGTCTGTGTCACCGCGGCCTTACAAATTGCACAACGAATTGATGCAATGAATATATCACATCGCGGTCTGCTCTTGGCTTGCAAGTTTCAGATTTACTGCAATACACCCGTCCTTGGATGGGCAAAAGGCTATTGTATGATATAGTATATGCTATATCTCTGCAACCACGAACTGTCCATGAATGAAACTCTTACCACTTGAGAGGGCGGGGCATAGAGAGGGCGGGGCATAGAAAGGGCGGGGCATAGAGAGGGCGGGGCATAGAGTTTAAAATGATTACCGCTCGATGCCTCTCCCAGCGCACAAACAGCCCCTAGCCTCAGTCATTCTCTAGATGGTGACCCCAGTGAACACAAACAGCCCCTAGCCTCAGTCATTCTCTAGATGGTGACCCCAGTGAACAAACAGCCCCTAGCCTCAGTCATTCTCTAGATGGTGACCCCAGTGAACAAACAGCCTCTAGCCTCAGTCACTCTCTAGATGGTGACCCCAGTGAACACAAACAGCCCCTAGCCTCAGTCACTCTCTAGATGGTGACCCCAGCACACAAACAGCCCCTAGCCTCAGTCACTCTCTAGATGGTAACCCCAGTGCACAAACAGCCCCTAGCCTCAGTCATTCACTAGATGGTGACACCAGTGAACAAACAGCCCCTAGCCTCAGTCATTCTCTCGATGGTGACCCCAGTGAACACAAACAGCCCCTAGCCTCAGTCATTCTCTAGATGGTGACCCCAGTGAACACAAACAGCCCCTAGCCTCAGTCACTCTCTAGATCAGTGGTTCTTAACCTGGGTTCGATCGAACCCCAGGGGTTCGGTGAGTCGATCTCAGGGGTTCGGCAGAGCCCCCGCCACGGAGGTCCGGACACACTTGAATTATTGTGTAAATTTGTGATGACACACACGGCCCGATTGGCCATCACTGGCTGCAGATGATCATGCTACACTGCTTGGCCAATCAGCGCTGCGGGGAATTTAGTGCGTACTCAGTAGTCAACGTGTGACTGTTGTTGTCGTACGTCGTGTGATTTCTTTAATATTTTATCCGTACTAACTATGTCGGGCAAAAGAAGAAAGTGGTCGGACGAATATGTACAACATGGATTCTCATGTATCACAGAACGTGATGGGAGTGAGCGTCCTATCTGCATGATTTGCAACGCCAAGTTGAGCAACTCTAGTCTTGCACCGGCAAAACTAAAGGAACACTTCTTGAAGCTGCATGGAGACGGGGAATACAAGAACACAACACTTGCTGAATTCAGGGTGAAGAGAGCCAGATTCGATGAAAGGGCCACTCTGCCTGCTCTTGGATTTGTACCTGTTAACAAACCGATCCTGACAGCATCGTATGAAGTTGCTTACCTGATTGCAAAGCAGGGCAAGCCACACACCATTGGTGAAACACTTGTGAAACCAGCTGCATTAAAGATGGCGAATCTGATACTCGGAACAGCGGCCGAAGGTAAATTATCCCAAATTCCCCTTTCAAATGACACCGTCAGTGACAGAATAGAAGACATGAGTAAAGACATCTTGGCTCAAGTAGTCGTGGATCTGATTTCAAGCCCGGCAAAATTCAGCCTTCAACTCGACGAAACCACAGACGTTTCTGATCTAAGCCAGCTTGCTGTTTTTGTACGCTATGTGAAAGACGACATGATAAAAGAAGAGTTTTAATTTTGTAAGCCTCTTACAACAACAACGAAGGCAGCCGATGTGAAGAAGCTTGTGGATGACTTCTTCAGAGACAACAATCTTTCATGGAATATGGTTTCTGCAGTTTGTACGGACGGAGCTCCAGTCATGCTGGGAAGAAAGTCTGGTTTTGGTGCGCTAGTAAAGGCCGATGCACCACACATCATTGTGACGCATTGTATTCTGCACCGGCATGCGTTGGCAACAAAAACCTTACCTCCAAAAATGGCAGAAGTATTAAAAACTGTGGTGGAATGTGTGAACTATGTGCGAAAAAGTGCTCTGAGGCACCGCATCTTCAGTGAGCTGTGTAAAGAAATGGGCTATGAATTTGAGGTACTTCTGCTCCATTCTAATATTCGGTGGTTATCCCGGGGACAAGTGCTGAATCGTGTTTTTGCCATGCGTGTGGAATTAGCCCTGTTTTTGCAAGAGCACCAACACTGCCATGCAGATTGCTTCAAAAATCCTGAGTTCATTCTCATTTTAGCGTACATGGCTGATATATTCGCAGCTCTCAATCATCTCAATCAGCAGATGCAGGGTGGTGGAGTCAATATCATGGAAGCGGAAGAACACCTGAAGGCTTTTCAAAAAAAGCTACCGTTATGGAAACGACGAACAGAGAACAATAACTTCGCAAACTTCCCGCTTCTGGACGACTGTGCAAGTAAGATCGAAGATGTGTCTGGAATCGGAGATATTTCTGTATCCACGGAACTGAAGCAAACAATTGCCATGCACTTAGATGAGCTTGCAAAGTCTCTCGACGGATATTTCCCTACAAGAGAGTCATATCCAGCATGGGTGAGAGCCGTTCACGTTTGCTGTTGAAACAGCAGATGTCAATGATGAATTCCTCGACGAAATCATTGAAATTCAGCAGAGCCAGGTTCAACAGCAACTCTTCAGAACAACAACGCTATCAACGTTTTGGTGTCGACAAATGAACAAGTATCCAGTTATTGCTAAGAAAGCCCTGGATTTTTTTTATACCATTTGTTACAACATATCTTTGTGAGCAATCCTTTTCGAGGATGCTGGACATAAAAACGAAGAAAAGGAACAGACTTTGCTGTGAAAATGACATGAGAGTGGCACTTGCCAAGGTGAAGCCACGCATATCTGAACTGATCTCTCAAAGGCAACAGCAGAAGTCACATTGATTTCCAGGTATGTAATTTGTTGTGAGTTTATGCATTGTGTTGGTTTTATTCTTTGAACAAGGTAATGTTCATGCACGGCTCATTTTGTGTACCAGTAAAAAACATATCTATGTCTTGAATTTGAAAAAAATCACATTTTATTTTTCACTAAAGAGGGGTTCGGTGAATGCGCATATGAAACTGGTGGGGTTCGGTACCTCCAACAAGGTTAAGAACCACTGCTCTAGATGGTGACCTTAGTGAAAAAACAGTCCCTAGCCTCAGTCACTCTGTAGATGGTGACCCCACGATACAAACAGCCCCTAGCCTCAGTCATTCTCTAGATGGTGACCCCAGCGCACAAACAGCCCCTAGCCTCAGTCATTATCTAGATGGTGACCCCAGTGAACACAAACAGCCCCTAGCCTCAGTCATTCTCTAGATGGTGACCCCAGCACACAAACAGTCCCTAGCCTCAGTCACTCTCTAGATGGTGACCCCAGCACACAAACAGCCCCTGGCCTCAGTCATTCTCTAGATGGTGACCCCAGTGAACAAACAGCCCCTAGCCTCAGTCATTCTCTAGATGGTGACCCCAGCACACAAACAGCCCCTAGCCTCAGTCATTCTCTAGATGGTGACCCCAGCACACAAACAGCCCCTGGCCTCAGTCATTCTCTAGATGGTGACCCCAGTGAACAAACAGTCCCTAGCCTCAGTCATGCTCTAGATGGTGACCCCAGCACACAAACAGCCCCTGGCCTCAATCATTCTCTAGATGGTGACCCCAGTGAACAAACAGCCCCTAGCCTCAGTCATTCTCTAGATGATGACCCCAGTACACAAACAGCCCCTAGCCTCAGTCATTCTCTAGATGGTGACCACAGTGAACACAAACAGCCCCTAGCCTCAGTCATTCTCTAGATGGTGACCCCAGTGAACACAAACAGCCCCTAGCCTCAGTAATTCTCTAGATGGTGACCCCAGCACACAAACAGCCCCTAGCCTCAGTCATTCTCTAGATGGTGACCCCAGCGCACAAACAGCCCCTAGCCTCAGTCATTCTCTAGATGGTGACCCCAGCGTACAAACAGCCCCTAGCCTCAGTCATTCTCTAGATGGTGACCCCAGCACACAAACAGCCCCTAGCCTCAGTCATTCTCTAGATGGTGACCCCAGTGAACACAAACAGCCCCTAGCCTCAGTCATTTTCTAGATGGTGACCCCCGCAACACAAGGAGCGTTTTGCGTTCTGCGGTTCGGCAAGACTGAATCCGTAATTGCGGTGCGGCGTGCGTTTCAACGGCGTTTTGGCATCGATCCGCCGACGATTTGAGGACACGGGCTGCTGTTGATGTAAGAGGAAAGGCACGGGGCGACCACGCACCTCAGAGGGAAACGTGAGAAGAGAGGCGTTCGGGACGAATTCAACTCTCGTCTCGATGTTGTCCGTACAGCAGGGGGAGGGCGCACGTAGAGCATTTATAAAATGGTTAATAAAACTTGGTAACTCATTAAAACCGTTTGTAACTTTTCGTGTAATTGTAACATGTTGCCATCGTGAAATATACTGCTTTGAAATTGGGTCCATTATTTTTAAACACCCTGTATATTTTCACGCATTGATGAATCGCCTCATGTAACTCCAGGTGCTCTGCGTGTCCCCCGGTTGAGAACCACTGATATTGCGAGCCGATGTCACTCATCAATCAAATATAGTTTCACCGGTGGTGGCCGTGAGCGGGAATCCAACTCGGGTCGCCGGGTTCGTAGCGCGGAGTAGCGCTAACCGCTACACTACCGCTCCCCCTACCACCACCACCATCATCACCAACCCCACTGTTGTACCATCAACATGAAGACTGCCATCCACATCGTTATCACCATCACTGTCATCCCTATGCTCATCACCATCATCCCAGCCGGCAGACTCATCGCGAGCATCGATGGATGTTGCCGCGGTCACGAACACCGCCTTCATCGCCGTTACCACCACCGCCCATCGACAACAGCACGCTCGTGATATCGTTCTGATCGTCTCCAACGGCAACATCTGAACCCATCACTGCCATCAACAACCACCACCACCACCGCTGCCACTATTTTGAACGCCACCATCATTTACCAACAGCGTCGTGACTTCTAAAACTAAAAAAAAAAACCTAAATCAGCACCAACGCCACCCGGAACGCTCCCCACCACATCATCACCACCCCCCCCCCCGTCAAACGCCCCCTCCCATCTGCCTGCTCCTCTTAAACACCTCCGACACAGGGGGCAGCAGTTCAAAGGTCACCGCGGGTACTGCCCCCTTACTACCCACGACGCCTGGCTTCGCCCTGTCGGGTACCAGCCTCCACCGCCTCGTCCCAGCGGCCGCGACTCCGCCGCCTCCGGCCCCGCCGCGGCTCCCGTCGCCTCCTTCCCCGTGACAGGTCACCCGGAGGCTGGGGAGGAGGCGGGGCAGCGCCGGGGAGAGCGGAGGAAGTCGTCCCGCCGGGGTTTCCCTCGCCGGCCCGGGTCCGGGGAGTTGGGGGGAGACGTGGGGGGGGACCTTGGAGGGAAGAGAGAGATGGGGGGGGGGGAGAGATGCCAGGAGAGTTGGCGTGAAGCTCTATGCGAGGTGCACGTCACCATCCCTTATCAGTGCCCTACCTTATTACGGACCAATTCAGACACCTTATTGGTCACCCCGTGCCCCTTATAAATCTCAACGTTCATCCTACAAACTCCCGTCACAAGGGGGAAACACAATTTTTTTTTCCATAAAAGAGGTTTTTTGGGCTATTATTTTTGTTGCCCGTGTTGAAACGGCTGTACATCGTATGAACCTGAAAATAAAAAAAAATTCCTGTACACGAATACGGGGTAAACTATATGGTTTGACAGGTATGCTGTATGTATCTATGTATCTCTATGTTTATCTTTGTATCTCTCTGTGTCTCTATCTCTATGGGTCTCTATGTATCTCTATTGGTCTCTGTGGATCTATATGGGTCTCTGTCTATATTATACATGTCAACCTCTCATCAGTGCCGACTTTATGACAGACCAATTCAGACCTTATTGGTCACCCTGTGCCCCTTATAAATTTCAACGTGCATCCCACAAAGCCCCAACACAAGAGAGAAACACAAATGGGTTAAAAAAAATGAGTGCCCGCATTGAAACGGCTGTACGTCCGCCGTATGGACCTGAAAACTAAAATTTCCCCGTACAAGAATACGGGGCAAACCGTATGGGTTGACACGGTGTGCGTCGCCTACGAGTCTCTTTTGTGAGTCGATGGGATCTCTACAAGTCTATGGGTTGAGTGCAAGTCTCGAGGACCTATCTCATCTCTCTCTCTCTCGCTCTCTCTATCGATGCAGCAGCAGCAGCAGTAGCAGTCGTGCAGAGTCCCAGATGCGATTCGCCGCTGAGAGCCAAGTCCCGCGACTAACGAGGGAATACCGAGCACGCACATGGCGTCCGTTGTACGAGAGCCATCGTCAATTTCAAGTTATGGACGGCTAGACGGCCAGACGGAGACACGGGCCAGTCGTTTGGCCACCTCACCTGGGTCGCCCTCGTTAGCCGGCGCTGCCGATTTAGCGGCTGCCTCTCGGGCGCCTTGGTGGTCGGCATTCGTCTGTAGATCACGGGGGCTGCCACGATTCCCGCGGGGATTCCGCGGATTTCTCCTCCGCCGCCGCCGCCGCTGCCACGGATTTCTGCTCCTTGTTCGCCCCGGTCGGGATGTGGAAGCGGGTTTTCACGGTCGCCTGGGAAATTAGTTTGTTGGGGGGGGAGGGGTGGGAGTGTTTGTTATTGTTGTTGTTGTTGACAGCAGTATATTTATATTCTTGTTTTTTTCGGTAAAGTCACGTAGAAGGGAAATAATAAAATAAATAAAAATAAAACAACATTCTCACGACGTTTCGGCCACAACGCAAGCAGCCGTCCTCAGGTGAAGAACAGCGAGCTGTCGGAAAGACGGCGTCCTAATGAACACCGCTAAGCTTGGCAGCGTCTTTTAAGCTGGGTGGGAGGAGGAGAGCGCCTTGACAAAGAGGTTTACATATCAACAGAGGAATTTAGCATATTGATGACAAATGCAGATATGGGATTAGTCACTCCTTGTGGAATGTGTAGGCGGTGGAGGGGGGGGGGGGGTCTCAAAGTCATATTAAGCTCGTGTATTATGTAGGATTAGCAGTAATAAAGGGAGATAATTTTTAATAATATAGAACTGCAACAGCCCAAACCACCGTGTGGTTGTTAACGAAAGTTTAATCGTTTTGTGGTTATCCACACCATACTGTACATTGTCAACCCATACGGGTTTGCCCCGTATTCTTGTCCGGGGAAATTTAGTTTTCAGATCCAGACAGCGTACAGTCGCTTCAATACGGGCAACAACAAACAAATAAATATAGTTTCGCTTGTGTTTATCTCCCTCGTGATGGGACTTTGCAGGATGAACGTTGAGATTTACAAGGGGCACGGGGGTGACCAATGAAGTCTGAATTGGTCTGTAATAAGGTAGGGCGCTGACAAGGGGCTGACAGGTTTGTATATATATACACACACAGAGTACTTCAATACATATTAACACTTACATGGGACTGTAGTTTTTAATGGGAAAAGAACGGATAATACACCGTGACATGATAAAAAAATGTGATGCTAATAGGTTCAAAAAGTCAAAGAGTCTCTCCCACTTACCCTTCGGTCCTTTCGGTAAAAAGTCACGTGGAGTATAAAATTAAATAAATTAAGTCACGACGTTCCGGGCGCAACACAGGCGTCCGTCATCAGGTGGAACAACCGCAGCAAGGAACAAACTGCTGTAGTGGGTAGAAGGACTCCCGTAATAAGAAGTTATGTAGGTAAGAGAGGGGGAGGGGGGCCAGGGAGGAGAGGGGGGGGGGGGGCGGTGATGCAGGATGAAGAGCAGCTAGTAAGGATCAAAGGGCAAAAGGTGAGATGCGGATATGAAGGCAACACCATAAAGCATCTAAGGTTTTACCTGGTTAATAACATCCTTCCAATGATTGCTCAATTTCTACCCACGTAATCATTTTACCGCAAGAACCAAAGAGTATGGATCCCTGCAGTCACGAAAACTTCAAATCGAGAGTCTCTCCCACTTGTTCGCCAGGGCCCGGGGGAAGGGGGGGGGGAGGCACGCTTCTTGGTGGTGTCGGTGCAAATTGTCGGAAGCATTCACATTTTTGAAGCGCCCTGGATTTTTTTTGTTTTTCCGTCCCGAGTTTAATCCACGATAACCACCTCCGCCCTTCTAGATTTGAAGCTTTCGTGACTGCAAGGATCCATACACTTTGGTTTAATTCAGTAATGTCACGTAGGTAAAAAATAAAACAACAAAAAAATTACGATGTTTCGGCCACAACACAAGTGGCCTTCATCAGGTGAAGGGACCGGGCTGTCCAGAGGACAGCGTTGGAGTGAACACAGCCAAGCCCAGGTCGGGTCCTTTAAGCTGTGTGGTCACGGCATCTTTTGAGGAAGGTCAGCGTCTCGATGAGCTGTGACTTCTTGTCCCGTTAGCTCTAACAGATAGGTGAAAGCCCTCCCCGTAGAGGTTATCAATTCTAGATTTGAAGCTTTCGTGACTGCAAGGATCCACACTCTTTGGTTTTATTCGGTAAAGTCACGTAGGTAAAAAATAAAACAACAAAAAAATCACGACGTTTCGGCCACAACACAAGTGGCCCTTCATGCCGTGACCACAAGCTTAAAGGAACGCGACCTGGGCTTGGCTGTGTTCACTCCAACGCTGTCCTCATGACAGCACGGTCCCTTCACCTGATGAAGGCCACTTGTGTTGCGGCCGAAACGTCGTGATTTTTTTGTTGTTTTCTTTTTTACACGACGTGACTTTACCGAATAAAACCAAAGAGCATGGATCCTTGCAGTCACGAAAGCTTCAAATATAGAATTGATAACCTCTACGGGGAGGGCTTTCACCTATCTGTTAGAGCTTTCAACAGACAACGAGACAAGAAGTCACAGCTCATCGAGACGCTGACCTTCCTCAAAAGATGCCGTGACCACAAGCTTAAAGGACCCGACCTGGGCTTGGCTGTGTTCACTCCAACGCTGTCCTCTGGACAGCCCGGTCCCTTCACCTGATGAAGGCCACTTGTGTTGCGGCCGAAACGTCGTGATTTTTTTGTTGTTTTATTTTTTACCCGACGTGACTTTACCGAATAAAACCAAAGGGTACACCTCCGCGCTGTTCGAGAAACGGAAGCCGCGGAAAGCTGATATTTACTTGACGTTACCAGCCGCGCAAGGGCTCCCCCCCCCCCCACCACTGCGCTTTCTGCGTAGCTCCTTCGGCAGGAGCCACCACGAATGGTGGCACCAGCGCGGCGGGCTTATCGCGTGGAACGAAAGAGGGGAAGACGGAGGATGAGGTCCCGTCGTGGACGCGGTTCGAACGACCGGATGCGACCGGGGAGGAGAATCCGACGCGGGGTTGTTGTTGTCGTCGTCGTTGTTTTTGTTGCCGTTCTTTTTGATCTTATCTAGGATCTTGTATCGCGTTTTTGTTAAAGGGGGCCGTCCATAAATGACGTCACGCGATTTTGGACGATTTTCGACCCCCCCCACCCCCCCTGCCGCCCCTTGTCACGCGGCGTCACAAAAAGTCAGACCCCCCCCCCTCAAATATGACGTCACAAAGCTCTGCCCCCCCCCGCCGCCCCCCAAAACTATATTCCCATTTTGAAAATAAAACATGCCTCAAATCGCTTTAAACTATTGTCATTGTAGTGCGTATTTAACGTGGCGCTGCACTCTGATGTTGTAGGAGTGTTGTTATAACAATTAGTGTTGTTATAATAATTCTATATTTATCGAAAGTTGGGCATTTTGATGTGACGTCACATTTGTCAAACCCCCCTCGTCACACATCGTCACAAATGTCTAGTTGCATGACGTCATTTATGGACGGCCCCTAAGCGCTTTACAAGATATTCTTAGCTCTTTCGGTAAACTCACGTTGAAGGGAAACAATAAAATAATAAAATATATATAAAACAATAAAAATTCTCACGACGTTTCGACCATAACACAAACGGTCGTCATCAGGTGTGTCGGTTAGCATTTATTTATTTATTTTTAACGGTGTATTTATTTATAAAAAACGTCAGCGCCACGCGCAGCGATTTGGCAGTTTATTTAGAAGGACTAGTCCATCTATGTTCTGAAAAGAGGAGGGGGGAGACGAAAAATTAATGTATGCTGTCTGAAAGCCACTGTAAGCGTGAACAATCAATTTAGACCTGAAATGGTTAATCAAATCTTTCCAATGGTTGCTAAGCCAGAATCCATTTTCTCGGTTGAAATTGTCTCTGTGCTTGTATATGTGGATAGCTTTACAAGAATTATGAATGGTACATTATTGGTGTTGGCTGATGGGGAAAAGCGATGGGGTTTGAGTGTTGTGGTTGGGGAAGGGATGGCGAGGGAGGGTGATGATTGGGAAAGGTGGTGATGTTAGGAAGGTGAAGTGGAGGATGGTGAGGGAGGGTTATGATAGGGAGAGGTGGTGATGTTAGGAAGGTGAAGTGGAGGATGGTGAGGGAGGGTTATGATAGGGAGAGGTGGTGATGTTAGGAAGGTGAAGTGGAGGATGGTGAGGGAGGGTGATGATAGGGAGAGGTGGTGATGTTAGGAAGGTGAAGTGGAGGATGGTGAGGGAGGGTGATGATAGGGAAAGGTGGTGATGTTAGGAAGGTGAAGTGGAGGATGGTGAGGGAGGGTGATGATAGGGAGAGGTGGTGATGTTAGGAAGGTGAAGTGGAGGATGGTGAGGGAGGGTGATGATAGGGAAAGGTGGTGATGTTAGGAAGGTGAAGTGGAGGATGGTGAGGGAGGGTGATGATAGGGAGAGGTGGTGATGTTAGGAAGGTGAAGTGGAGGATGGTGAGGGAGGGTGATGATAGGGAAAGGTGGTGATGTTAGGAAGGTGAAGTGGAGGATGGTGAGGGAGGGTGATGATAGGGAAAGGTGGTGATGTTAGGAAGGTGAAGTGGAGGATGGTGAGGGAGGGTGATGATAGGGAAAGGTGGTGATGTTAGGAAGGTGAAGTGGAGGATGGTGAGGGAGGGTGATGATAGGGAGAGGTGGTGATGTTAGGAAGGTGAAGTGGAGGATGGTGAGGGAGGGTGATGATAGGGAAAGGTGGTGATGTTAGGAAGGTGAAGTGGAGAATGGCGAGAGAGGGTGATGATAGGGAAAGGTGGTGATGTTAGGAAGGTGAAGGATGGATCAGGTTTTACGGATGCGGACAGGAAGTAGTAGATGGATACGCTTTTTAAAAAAAGGTGAGTTGTTGTTGTTGAGTAGACATCGTGGGGAAGAGCTACCCGGACGGAAGGCCGTGATCCCCGGCGTATTTTGATCGAGAGGACGTGGCACAGATGAATCCGATGAGCTTAAAAAGCTATTTTTTTTTTCAAACAGATGTTCCAGTTATGGGGCACGGAGTCAGAACGTGACAACAATAAACATTTTTTTTAAAAAATACGCGATAGTAGTCCATAGTATAGGAAAGGTAAACAAATAACTAAACAAAATATATACATATTCTTGGTTCTTTCGGTAAAGTCACGTAGAAGAGAAACAATAAAATAAAAATATACTATTTAAATAAAAATATATTATTTTATTGTTTCCCTTCTGCGTGACTTCACCAGACGAGGTAGTTAACATTTCCTAGCCACCGTGATGATGATGATTAGAGAGAGAAATGCAAACTCCGAATATACAGGCGTCAGGGTCGGGATCGAACCCACGACCTCCTGTGCACCTGGCGAGGTAGTTAACATCTCCTAGCAACCGTGATGATGATGAGAAAGAGAGAGACACGCAAACTCCAAATATACAGCAGCAGGCGTCAGGGTCGGGATCGAACCCACGACCTCCTGTGCACCAGGCGAGGTAGTTAACATCTCCTAGCCACCGTGATGATGATGAGAGACACGCAAACTCCAAATATACAGCAGCAGGCGTCAGGGTTGGGATCGGATCCACGACCTCCTGTGTACCAGGCGAGGTAGTTAACATCTCCTAGCCACCGTGGCCGTTCATCACAGAGGTACCTCTGAGATCCATTCTCTTTCAGTGCCCTCTGAGTGCAGCACTTTCCAACCTGCTCTACCGCATGAGAGCTATCGATGCTCACCGCACGGAACTCAACCCACGCCACAGATTGGCACGGTTGGCTACGTATGGTGCAAAAGAAGTCCAAGGGGCCGTCCATAAATGACGTCACGCGATTTTGGACGGTTTTTGACCCCCCCCCCTCGTCACACGGCGTTACAAAAAGTCAGACCACCCCTCAAATATGACGTCACAAAGCTGTGCCCCCCCCCCCCCCAAAAAATTAAACGTGCTTCAAATCGCTTTAAACTATTGTCATTGTAGTGCGTATTTAATGTGGCGCTGCACTCTGATGTTGTAGGAGAAAACATTTATTAAAAAAGTCTATTTCATTAAGTAGAACGTGTTGCCTATATTTATTTAAAGTTGCGCATTTTGGTGTGACGTCACATTTCTCAAACCCCCCCCCCCCCTCGTCACAAATGTCTGACCCCCCCCACCCCACTAGGTGCGTGACGTCATTTATGGAAGGCCCCCAATATACATAAATTAAAATTTTTAAACGATATTTTAATTTCAGATTTGAAGCTTTCGTGACTGCAAGGATCCATACTATATGGTTCTATTCGGTAAAGTCACGTTCATCATGCTAAGTCGGCCAATTAAATGCTAATTTTTATGCTAATTCCTTTGTCAAGGCACTTTAATTCCTCTCACACAGCTTAAAGGTCGCGGTCTGAGCTTGGCTGTGTTCACTCCAGCGCTGTCCTCGAGACAGTCTGGTCCCTTCACCTGATGAAGACCACTTGTGTTGTGGCCGAAACGTCGTGAATTTTTTTATTTTTATTTTTTGTTGTTTTATACTTTTACGTGACTTTACCGAATAGAACCAAAGAGTATGGATATTTTAATTCTCAAGAGCTGGAATTTGGCCGAATTAAGCCAAGCACTTTTAGAATATTTGGTTGCTGCTATAAATGTCCACACGACGATGACGATGGTGAGCCAATTCGTTGAGCTACCGCTTGCTACGTCACAGCTCAGTGGGGCCTTACCTGGTAAGAGTACAAAATTTCAGTTTTCAGTTTATTTTGGTATAGCCCCTGTGAGCCATTCGGCTCTTGAATCGGGTGCAACCACAACAAACACACAAAAAAACAAAAACACGAACAAGAAAACCATCTTAAAGTGACTATGTGTGACTGTGCAAACAGAAAATCTATGGAAAAAAAATCACCGTACACCAACGCTGTGTGCAAAAAATCCCAGTGGGATGCAAGTCAAACAACAACAACAACAACCACAAAAACTTACACCTGTATAGCAACGTTATTCAGGCGAAACTCATTGGCAAAATTGGCGAGGAGGTTACCACCACAGGTGAAGATCTAAACAATAAAACGTTACTAAAAAAAAATATATGTAAAACGTTGACTGATTTTGAAAAAAATATAATTAACATGAAAACATTGAAAACGTGCAGCTCTTGTCTCTCACGCACGCCGTCACCTCTGTCTGCATCAACGGCCACGAGGTGCTCAGTTCGAATTTCGTTCCTGCCGCCCGATTGGCTGCTGGGCGCGCGTGGCCGCTCTGCGATTGGCTGGGAGGGTCCTCCGGGGTCCACGGGGTCCCCATCAAAGACCGTCTTGTTCACCGTTTTCTCAGTCTGCAAGAACACGCGGTTGCAATTTAAACGCGCGCGCATTAATAGCGGGAGGTCTCGTGGTTGACTATATTCAATAATTAGGGGCCGTCCATAAATGACGTCACGCGATTTCTGACGATTTTTAACCCCCCCCCCTCCTCCTCGTCACACGGCGTCACAAAAAGTCAGACCCCCCTCAAATATGACGTCACAAAGCTCTGCCCCCCCCCCCAAATAATATAAAACATGCTTCAAATGGCTTTAAACTATTGTCATTGTAGTGCGTATTTATTGTGCTGCTGCACTCTGATGTTGTAGGAGAAAACATTTATTAAAAAGTCAATTTTATTAAGTAGAACGTGTCGTCTATATTTATTCAAAGTTGCGCATTTTGACGTGACGTCACATTTCTCAAACCCCCCACCCCCCCTCGTCACACATCGTCAAAAATGTCTGACCACCCCCCCCCCCCCCAGGTGCGTGACGTCATTTATGGACGGCCCCTAATCAATAATGATATAATGATTATTCGCGATCCCGACAGATTTCAGAAGCCGAGCAGGTCTTGAGCCTGGATAGTGTTTGGATGGGTGAAACACCGGCGTGTTATAACAGGCGCTGTAGGCTGCGTGGGGCTACTCTGCGGACAGCAGATGGCGGTGCATCGTCAACGGAGGGCAGAGAAGCGACGCTCACAACAACGAGCGGATGGGGCTCAGCAAGCTGGCACAGTAGAAGGGTTTCAGCTGGCGGTGCATCAGCCGGTCACTTCAGTCAGCCAACCCGTGGCAACCTGCTGGGTCTGTACCCGTGACGTGTCGAAGGCAGCGAGCCTCCGACGCGTCACTGTGGCCCTCAAAGTGCACCGAGCCTGGCACACGTGCTGTGGTCGATGTCACAGGCACTCCGTCGTGCTGCTGTTGCGTTTGCGTGTACTGTCCACTATTCGCGTGTGTCTACTATTTTTTTTCTTTTTATCACGGTTCGCTGAGCAATTGGCCAGATGTTAACTCCATCGCCTGGTATACGGGAGATCGTGGGTTCGATCCCCACCCTGACGCCTGCTGCCGTCTCAATGATGGGACTTTGTAGGATGAACGTTGAGATTTATAAGGGGCACGGGGGTGAGCAACAAGGACTGAATTGGTCTACAATAAGGCAGGGCACTGATAAGGGATTGCCAGGTATGCACACATCGGGGTCACCGTCGCGAAGAGTCATTGTCGTCAACTCCACGTGACGGACGTGACAGGGCGGCCAGACGCACGGAACGGACCGGGGAGTTGACGATGTTTTAGTTGTCGGCATTTTCCCAAGGAGCGTAACGCTCCCCCGCCCGCCTCCACCGTGGATTACTCAACGTCACGAGGGTTTTCCCGAATCGCCCGAGGTTTATTCGAATGGGAATATTGGTCCCGTTGATAATGTTATCCACGATAGAGGTTTTTGGGTTAGATCGCGTAAATATGAGCCTGTCGTTAAACCCGCCACCACTCGACACAGCCAATTAGTAAGGTTTGTCACGTAAACAAAACGTGCCAATTTGTTACTATTTCAGCACAAACCCGTTGTGTGTTGGAGAGTAAACCCACTACAACGTTTACAATTATAGTGTAGTGTATAGTGTAGTATACTACTTCAGCACTAACCGGTTGTGTAGGAGAGTAAACTCACAATGCTTATAATTATAGTTTATAGTGTAGTGTGTAGTGTATAGTGTAGTATATAAGTTCAGCACAAACCGGTTGTGTGTTGGAGAGTAAACCCACTACAACATTTACAGTTATAGCGTAGTGTATAGTGTAGTACGCTAGTACAGCACTAACCGGTTGTGTGCTGGAGAGTAAACCCATAACATTTACAATTCTAGTACTGTGACGTTCCGCCGGTAATTACAACAACAACAACCAGCCTCATCAGGCGACAGCCAGAGAGTTGTGGAGAAACCCTCTTCCTGTTTTGTGATGTCACCAATCAGGTGCAAATGCCAGACTGGGGACAATGTAGTAATACAAATTACAATAGATATCCAATACTGGGTGGGTTATTCATAGGATAATCAACATACATAATGCGCACGCACTATCATATTATCATCATCATCATGAAGGAGACAACAGGAGGGAAATTCGGAGGCGGGAGTTGGGCTGTACCCTCGCCCTCCTACGCTCCCTCTGGCACAGCAGGAAGTAGGTGGTGAGCAACGCCCCGCTCTGATTGGCCGACACCGCTGCTGCCACCTCTGCGGGCCAGACGCCCATCGAGTCGGCCATGATGCGGAGCACGTGGGCGTCCAGAGGCTCCGGCCTAAGAACGGAAGGAGAGAGAACAACAACAACAACGACAACAACAACACAGCGGGCATCCCCGTCGGCACACCCGAGGGGGAATTTGCACGACGTTTCGACAGCTCTGAGCGACGACCGGCGAGGAAGATGCAGCGAGGAGCGAGGATCGTAAAGGCCCGAGGAGTAGCAGGGCATCGGTGGCATTGTGCGGAGTTTGACCTCTAATGTGGGGGCGGTGGGGCATGGGGTAGGGCTTTTGACCCTCGCATTAGGAATCCGTGGGTGTGCGTATATTACAATTTTTTTTTACTTCATCATAAGCTGCTGACGATGAATGAATCAAAGTGTCCCAGTTTGGGGAGGGTGGACTCGGGGTGGAGTGTCCTGGTGGGTGGACTCTGGGGGGGGGGGTGGAGTGTCCTGGTGGGTGGACTCTGGGGGTGGAGTGTCCTGGTGGGTGGACTCTGGGGGTGGAGTGTCCTGGTGGGTACCTGGAGGGTGGACACTGGGGGGATGGAGTGTCCTGGTGGGTACCTGGAGGGTGGACTCTGGGGGGGTGGAGTGTCTTGGTGGGTACCTGGAGGGTGGACTCTGGGGGGGTGGAGTGTCCTGGTGGGTACCTGGAGGGTGGAGTGTTCTGGTGGGTGGACTCTGGGGGGGTGGAGTGTCCTGGTGGGTACCTGGAGGGTGGACTCTGGGGGGGTGGAGTGTCCTGGTGGGTACCTGGAGGGTGGATTCTGGGAGTGGAGTGTTCTAGTGGGTACCTGGTGGGTGGACTCTGGGGGGGTGGAGTGTTCTAGTGGGTACCTGGTGGGTGGACTCTGGGGGGGTGGAGTGTCCTGGTGGGTGGACTCTGGGGGGGTGGAGTGTCCTGGTGGGTACCTGGAGGGTAGACTCTGGGGGGGTGGAGTGTCCTGGTGGGTGGACTCTGGGGGTGGAGTGTCCTGGAGGGTGAATTCTGGGGGTGGAGTGTCCTGGTGGTTACCTGGAGGGTGGACTCTGGGGGTGGAGTGTCCTGGTGGGTACCTGGAGGGTGGACTCTGGGGGTGGAGTGTCCTGGTGGGTACCTGGAGGGTCGACTCTGGGGGGGTGGAGTGTCCTGGTGGGTACCTGGAGGGTGGACACTGGGGGGGTGGAGTGGCCTGGTGGGTGGACTCTGGGGGTGGAGTGTCTTGGTGGGTACCTGGAGGGTGGACTCTCGGGGTGGAGTGTCCTGGTGGGTACCTGGAGGGTGGACTCTGGGGGTGGAGTGTCCTGGTGGGTACCTGGAGGGTCGACTCTGGGGGGGTGGAGTGTCCTGGTGGGTATCTGGAGGGTGGACACTGGGGGGGTGGCGTGGCCTGGTGGGTGGACTCTGGGGGTGGAGTGTCTTGGTGGGTACCTGGAGGGTGGACTCTCGGGGTGGAGTGTCCTGGTGGGTACCTGGAGGGTGGACTCTGGGGGTGGAGTGTCCTGGTGGGTACCTGGTGGGTGGACTCTGGGGGTGGAGTGTCTTGGTGGGTGGACTCTGGGGGTGGAGTGTCTTGGAGGGTACCTGGTGGGTAGACTTTGGGGGTGGAGTGTCTTGGTGGGTGGACTCTGGGGATGGAGTGTCCTGGTGGGTACCTGGTGGGTGGACTCTGGGGGGGTGGAGTGTCCTGGTGGGTACCTGGAGGGTGGACACTGGGGGTGGAGTGTCCTGGTGGGTACCTGGAGGGTGGAATCTGGGGGGGTGGAGTGTCCTGGTGGGTACCTGGTGGGTGGACTCTGGGGGTGGAGTGTCCTGGTGGGTACCTGGAGGGTGGACTCTGGGGGGGTGGAGTGTCCTGGTGGGTAGCTGGAGGGTGGACACTGGGGGTGGAGTGTCCTGGTGGGTACCTGGTGGGTGGACTCTGGGGGTGGAGTGTCCTGGTGTCTACCTGGAGGGTGGACTCTCGGGGTGGAGTGTCCTGGTGGGTACCTGGAGGGTGGACTCTGGGGGTGGAGTGTCCTGGTGGGTACCTGGAGGGTGGACTCTGGGGGGGTGGAGTGTCCTGGTGGGTACCTGGAGGGTGGACACTGGGGGTGGAGTGTCCTGGTGGGTGGACTCTGGGGGTGGAGTGTCCTGGTGGGTACCTGGAGGGTGGATTCTGGGGGGGTGGAGTGTCCTGGTGGGTACCTGGTGGGTGGACTTTGGGGGGGTGGAGTGTCCTGGTGGGTGGACTCTGGGGGTGGAGTGTCCTGGTGGGTACCTGGAGGGTGGACTCTGGGGGGGTGGAGTGTCCTGGTGGGTACCTGGAGGGTGGAAACTTGGGGTGAAGTGTCCTGGTGTCTACCTGGAGGGTGGACACTGGGGGTGGAGTGTCGTGGTGGGTACCTGGAGGGTGGACTCTGGAGGGGTGGAGTGTCCTGGTGGGTGGACTCTGGGGGGGTCGAGTGTCCTGGTGGGTGGACTCTGATGGTGGAGTGTCTTGGTGGGTACCTGGTGGGTGGACTCTGGGGGGTGGAGTGTCTTATTGGGTACCTGGAGGGTGGACTCTGGGGGGATGGACTCTGGGGGTGGAGTGTCCTGGTGGGTACCTGGAGGGTGGACTCTGGGGGGGTGGAGTGTCCTGGTGGGTGGACTCTGGGGGGTGGAGTATCCTGGTGGGTACCTGGTGGGTGGACACTGGGGGTGGAGTGTCCTGGTGGGTACCTGGAGGGTGGACTCTAGGGGGTGGACTCTGGGGGTGAAGTGTCCTGGTGGGTACCTGGAGGGTGGACTCTGGGGGTGGAGTGTCCTGGTGGGTACCTGGTGGGTGGACACTGGGGGTGGAGTGTCCTGGTGTCTACCTGGAGGGTGGACTCTGGGGGGGTGGACTCTGGGGGTGGAGTGTCCTGGTGGGTACCTGGAGGGTGGACTCTGGGGGGGTGGACTCTGGGGGTGGAGTGTCCTGGTGGGTACCTGGAGGGTGGACACTAGGGGTGGAGTGTCCTGGTGGGTACCTGGAGGGTGGACTCTGGGGGGGTGGACTCTGGGGGTGGAGTGTCCTGGTGGGTACCTGGAGGGTGGACACTGGGGGTGGAGTGTCCTGGTGGGTACCTGGAGGGTGGACTCTGGGGGGTAGAGTGTCCCGGTGGGTACCTGGAGGGTGGACTCTGGGGGGGTGGAGTGTCCTGGTGGGTACCTGGAGGGTGGACTCTGGGGGGGTGGAGTGTCCTGGTGGGTACCTGGAGGGTGGACTCTGGGGGGGTGGAGTGTCCTGGTGGAGCCAGGCGTCCGTGAGGGCCTCGCGGGCCGAGGGCCGCAATGCCGGGTCCGGATTGAGCAGCGACTTCGTGAAACGGACAGCGTCTGAGTGGACATCAACAACAACATCGACATCTCTGAGTGGACATCAACAACAACATCGACAACAACAAAATCAACAACAACATCGACAAAAAACATCAACAACACCATCTTCGAGTGAACAACAATAACATCAACATCTCTGAGTTGACAACAACATCACCACAACAACAACAACAACATCACCTTCTCTGAGTGGACATCAACAACAACATCAACAACATCACCATCTCTGAGTGGACATCAACAACATCACCATCTCTCAGTGGACATCAACAACAACATCAACATCTCTGAGTGGACATCAACAACAACATCGACAACAACAAAATCAACAACAACATCGACAACAACATCAACAACACCATCTTCGAGTGGACAACAACATCAACATCTCTGAGTTGACAACATCACCATCTCTGACTGGACATCAACAACAACATCAACAACATCACCATCTCTGAGTGGACATCAACAACAACATCAACAACATCACTATCTCTCAGTGGACATCAACAACAACATCAACATCTCTGAGTGGACATTAACAACAACGAGTATTTTGGGCCACATATGATAGCTCAACAAAGTGGCCTATCACGTGCACATTTATCTAAACGTGGAGGTGAAAAACCAGAGGTCCCGGAGAAAAAATCCACGCAACCAAGGGGAGAGAGAGACACAAATTCCAAATATACAGCAGCAGGCGTCAGGGTCGGGATCGAACCCGCGACCTCCTGTATACCAGGCGAGGTAGTTAACATCTCCTAGCCACCGTGATGATGATGAGAGAGAGACACGCAAACTCCAAATATACAGCAGCAGGCATCAGGGTCAGAATCGAACCAACGACCTCCAGCATCCCAGGCGAGGTAGTTAACATCTCCTAGCCACCGTAGCGTCCCTTAAATTCCCTTGCCACAGGCAGTGAAACAACAGCAAAAAAAAGCAGTCCCAGGTCGCGTCAAGACAACACGCAGCCCCTCAACACAATGAATTGCACGTCAACGTTGAGCGATCGACGGCATCGCCAAGGAATCAAACGTGCAAATCACCCACCGTGTCCACCACCACCACCACCACCACCTCCCTCCCCTGGGTCGAGTCGGCCCTTAAACGCGCTCGCGAGTGCTACCTGCGGACAGGTGAGCGGGGATGGGGCTCATGCCGTCGGTGAGGATCTTGGTGAGCAGCGCCCTGATGTTGAAGGGCTCCACGGTGAACGGCAGCGTCCCGGTGAGCATCACGAACAGGCTCACTCCGCTGCGCGGCGGAGACAAGGGGCGACAAGGGGACAGAGTCGCCGGCGGCCGCTGGGGACCGACTGCTATGCCGAGGGTTACTTTATATTTTGTTGCCGCAACGGCCGAGGTCAGGCGCAGGGCGGCAGCTTCCCCGCGTCGCGTCCGGGCCGGGTCAAGCCACGAGGTGCCAGGAGCAGGAGCGGGAGTCGCCTTTGTCTCCCCAAAGCCGGCCCGGGCGAGTGACCCTATAGGTCTCCGTGTGACCTTATAGGTCTCCGTGTGACCCTATAGGTCTCTATGTGATCCTGTGGGTCTCTGTGTGAGTCCATCGGTCTCTATATGAGCCTGTGGGTCTCTGTGTGAGTCTGCGGGCTCTGTGGGAGTCTATGAGTCTACTAGTCTCTGTGTGAGTCTACGGGTCTCTGTGGGAGTTTATGAGTCTACGTGTCTCTATGTGAGTCTATGGGTCTCTATGTGAGTCTATGGGTCTCTATGTGAGCCTACGGGTCTCTGTGTGAGTCTACGGGTCTCTGTGTGAGTCTAGGGGTCTCTGTGTGAGTCTACGGGTCTCTGTGTGAGTCTATGGGTCTCTGTGTGAGTCTGCGGGCTCTGTGGGAGTTTATGAGTCTACTAGTCACTGTGTGAGCCTACGGGTCTTTGTGTGAGTCTACGGGTCTCTGTGTGAGTCTACGGGTCTCTGTGTGAGTCTAGGGGTCTCTGCGTGAGACTACGGGCCTCTGTGTGAGTCTAGGGGTCTCTGTGTGAGTTTACAGGTGTCTGTGTGAGTCTACGGGTCTTTGTGTGAGTCTACGGGTCATTGTGTGAGTCTACGGGTCTCTATGTGATCCTAGGGTTCTCTGGGTGAGCCTACGGGTCTTTGTGTGAGTCTACGGGTCTCTGTGTGAGTCTAGGGGTCTGTGTGCGACTACGGGTCTCTATGTGCGCCTACAGGTCTCTGTGTGAGACTACGGGTCTCTATGTGAGTATACGGGTCTCTATGTGAGTATATGGGTCTCTGTGGGAGTCTATGAGTCTACGGGGCTCTGTGTGAGTCTACGAGTCTCCGTGTGAGCATACTGGTCTATGTGTGAATCTACGGGTCTCTGCGTGTGAGCCTACGGGTCTCTGTGTGAGTTTATGGGCTTTGTGTGAGTCTATGCATCTCTATGTGAGTCTACGAGTCTTTGTGTGAGTCTACAAGTCTACGTGTGAGTCTACGAGGTCTCTGTGTGAGTCTACGCGTTTCTACGTGAGTCTATATGTGAGTATACGGGTCTCCGTGTGAGTCTACGGGTCTCTGTGTGAGTCTACCGGTCTCTGTGTGAGTCTACGGGCCTCTGTGTGAGTTTGTGGTCTCTACATGAGTCTGTGAGTCTACTGGTCTCTGTGTGAGTCTACGCGTCTCTACGTGAGTCTACGAGTCTCTATGTGAGTTTACGGGTCTCCGTGTGAGTCTACGGGTCTCTGTGTGAGTCTACCGGTCTCTGTTTGAGTCTACGGGCCTCTGTGTGAGTTTGTGGTCTTTACGTGAGTCTGTGAGTCTACTGGTATCTGTGTGAGTCTACGTGTCTCTACGTGAGTCTACGAGTTTCTATGTGAGTTTACGGTTCTCCGTGTGAGTCTACGGGTCTCTGTGTGAGTCTACCGGTCTCTGTTTGAGTTTACGGGCCTCTGTGTGACTTTGTGGTCTCTACGTGAGTCTGTGAGTCTACTGGTCTCTGTGTGAGTCTACGCGTCTCTACGTGAGTCTACGAGTCTCTATGTGAGTTTACCGGTCTCCGTGTGAGTCTACGGGTCTCTGTGTGAGTCTACCGGTCTCTGTGTGAGTCTACGGGCCTCTGTGTGAGTTTGTGGTCTCTACGTGAGTCTGTGAGTCTACTGGTCTCTGTGTGAGTCTACGCGTCTCTACGTGAGTCTACGAGTCTCTATGTGAGTTTACGGGTCTCCGTGTGAGTCTACGGGTCTCTGTGTGAGTCTACCGGTCTCTGTGTGAGTCTACGGGCCTCTGTGTGAGTTTGTGGTCTCTACGTGAGTCTGTGAATCTACTGGTATCTGTGTGAGTCTACGCGTTTCTACGTGAGTCTACGAGTCTCTGTGTGAGTTTACGCATCTCCGTGTGAGTCTACGGGTCTCCGTGTGAGGACCCCGGTTTAACCACTGCCAGCGGCTGAGACCCGGATTGGAACCCTGACTCTGAGCGGTGCCAGCCGAGTGCCTCCGCCATCTCCCAGTGGTCGAACCACCCCCTGGGCTGCAGCCGCCGTGGTTCTGTTGTGTGCGGACGAATGTTTACGAGAGACCAAACAAAGACAAAGGTCCCCCGTGTAGCCTTAACAGACTGTTGGGGCAAGTGCTGCTAGCGAGTAGCACCTAAACAAAGACAAAGGTCCCCCGTGTAGCCTTAACAGACAGTTGGGGCAAGTGCTGCTAGCGAGTAGCACTTAAACAAAGACAAAGTTCCCCCGTGTAGCCTTAACAGACTGTTGGGGCAAGTGCTGCTAGCGAGCACCTACGAAGGCCAAAATGACACGCGATGGGGTGGGTGGCCAGCACCACGCCCGGCCGCCTTTGTCTCCCCAGTGGCGACGTTTGCACACCTCACCAGGTACTCATTTTGAGGCCGAGTCGACCTAAGCGGGTGGCCCAGGCCCGGTTAAAATAATCCCCGCTGGGTGCTGGCCGTGAGCGGGAATCGACCCCGGGTCGCCGGGTTCGAAGCGCGGCGTAGCGCTCACCGCTGCACCACCGCTCCCCGCACAACAGAGACCCCCCCCCACACTCACACTGCGAGCCAATGATTAAACAGATTTCATTAAAACAAAAAAAACTTCGACCTGCCCAGACTAGCAGCGCCATCAATCATTATCTCGTTAACGCAGCTCGCAGCTGATTTATGAGCAGTGTGTATTCTTATTGTTGCTGCTGCTGCTGCTTTTATGCGCGAACGTGGTCATTAAATTGGAAGACGTAGCGGGCGGTCCAGCACCGGCTAAACATTTCGCCACTGATGTTCGCCGTGAGCGGGAGTGTAAACAGTGCAGCGCAGTGCGCTAACCACTGCGCCACCACTCCCCGTATCTTTGTGGTGCTTGCTTACGGGGAGCGTAAGCAAGCACAATAGACTGTTGGGGCAAGTGCCGTTAGCCAGTAGCACCTACACAGACAAAGTTCCCCCGTATGGGGCCGTCCATAAATGACGTCACGCGCCTAGGGGGGGGGGGGGGGTGGTCAGATATTTGTGACGTTCTGCTTAATTAAATTGACTTTTTAATAAATGTTTTTTTCCTACAACATCAGAGTGCAGCGCCATATTAAATACGCACAACAATGACAGTAGTTTTAAATGGAAATATGGTTGAAATGGAAATATGGTTTTGGGAGGGGCAGAGCTTTGTGACGTCATATTTGAGGGGGGGGGTCTGACTTTTTGTTACGCCGTGTGACGAGGGGGGGGGGGGTCAAAAATCGTCCAAAATCGCGTGACGTCATTTATGGACACACCCAGATCACCACACACACACAGATTACCACATACACACACAGGTCACACACACAGATCACCACACACACACCCAGATCACCACACACACACACACAGGTCACACACACAGATCACCACACACACACCCAGATCACCACACACACACACAGGTCACACACACAGATCACCACACACACACAGATCACCACACACACACACAGGTCACACACACAGATCACCACACACACACCCAGATCACCACACACACACACACAGGTCACACACACACACACACAGATCACCACACACATACACACAGATCACCACACACACACACACAGATCACCACACACACACACACAGATCACCACACACACACAGAGATCACCACACATACACACAGATCACCACACACACACACATCACCACACACACACACAGATCACCACACACACACACAGATCACCACACACACAGAGATCACCACACATACACACACAGGTCACCACACACACATATCACCACACACACACACACAGATCACCACACACACACACAGATCACCACACATACACACACAGGTCACCACACACACATATCACCACACACACACACACATCACCACACACACACACATCACCACACACACACATATCACCACACACACACAGCTCACCACACACACACACACAGATCACCACACACACAGATCACCACACACACATAGATCACCACACACACACAGGTCACCACACACACACACATCACCACACACACACACAGGTCACCACACACACACACATCACCACACAACTCGCACGCTCCCTAGCTCCGAGTTAATTAAAACCTCGCCAGCCGCGTGACTCCGACACGCTGGCCACAGCACCAAGGAGACGACACTGCTGCTGCTGCTCGTGGCTCACCACGCACGGCCTCCTCCTGCTGCTGCTGCTGCTCGTGGCTCACCACGCACGGCCTGCTGCTGCAGCTGCTGCTGCAGCTCGTGGCTCACCACGCACGGCCTCCTGCTGCTGCTGCTGCAGCTGCTCGTGGCTCACCACGCACGGCCTCCTGCTGCTGCTGCTGCTGCTCGTGGCTCACCACGCACGGCCTCTTGCTGCTGCTGCAGCTGCTGCTCGTGGCTCACCACGCACGGCCTCCTGCTGCTGCTGCTGCTCGTGGCTCACCACGCACGGCCTCCTGCTGCTGCTGATGCTGCCGCTGCTTCATTGTCACCGATGGGGCAACATCATTGGGCATTCCCCCGGGCAGCAGCGGTAATCGCTGACATAGCACGCGTGTGTGTGGTGGCGGAGGTGGTGGTAGCGGTGGAAGTGGTGGTGGTGGAAGCGGTAATAGTGGTGGTAGCGGTGGTGGTGGTAGTGGCCAGGGCCAGATCACGGTCCCGTGAGGTCCCTGGTCACGTGTCTTTCTTGCCTTCTTCCTCGCAAAATCATCCGCTTGACGGTCAAAATCTCGCTGTCTGACAAGGTCTGACACTATTGGCATAAGTGACAATGAGCTGAGACGCGTTTGGC